TCAGTCTTAGGAATCAGTGATTCAAAGTGAAAAACATTGATATAAATAATATCTAAATAATTTATATTACGAAATACGGTATATATTGAATTCACTTATCATGGGTTGAAACAAAACAAACAAACAAACAAAAAACTGTCTAATCTTAAGACTCATCACTGACATAACAAATGGCAGAACAGATATAACCAAAACAGTAGTTCCCGTTTTTTTTTTAATAATAATAGTAGTGATCGCCGAAGCGTTTGAATGAGTCTTTTGAGCGGACTATCCATTTGTTTGATAACCACTCATCCAATTGTATGTCTGATCTATGAATTATATATCAATGAGCTAACTGTATTTGTATTACTTTATATTACTTTAATAGTTATTATACTGTTGTAGTCATAATTAATTTGGATAATAAACTGACACATTTTTAAAAAAATAATAATTATTATTATTTTTTCATAATATACGGAACATTAGTACAGTAGTAGTGTTATTATATTAATTATATAATACTTTAGTTTATTTTAGTTTATTGTTTTTAATGTTTAATTAATAATCTCACGACACAATGACTAATATAAAAAAGCAAACATTAAAACATTAGTTTCAAACATTAATTTATTTTAATGAATAGTATAGTAAAATTTTTAAAAATATATATTGTAATTTACAAGTTATGTGTAATTTTAAAAATAGTAATAAAAAATTTCACAATTAGCATTAAAAATCAACTTTTATAATAAATTAATTTAAGTATTATTTATATTTATTTAATTTTTATTAAATTATTTAAAAATATTCTTTAATTTATTAAAATACTATAATTATGTTTTACTCTAATAAAAATAAAATAAATTATATTTGATTTTAAATAGATTTCTATAATATAGTCGACAATTTATATCCGCGATTACCAGTTAAATGCACCATAAATAATGAAAATTATTTTCACTTTAATTAGTTAAGTGTAAAAATTGTCAAACTTTTTTTTATTAATAATAAAGTTGTCAAAACAGTCTAAATGTCCACAAAAAATATATATATGAAAAAAATGACACAAAATCAATGAATTATATCAATGAAACTTATATTTATTTTCTTTATATGAAAAAAATAAAAGTTTATAACTTTATAACAATAAGCTGTTTTAAAATAACATACAAATTATAATAGTAACCAAAAAATTAGACACTATTATAGCGACACTAACTAAACATGATTTAGTCTACATTATTGGTCTAAATTATTATTATTGCTATTATTTTATGTGTATTTATAGATATATTATGAATAAAATTAGATTTTCATTTGGGTTTCTTTAATGTTTTTGTACTTTACTTTCAGTTAGTATCAGACCAGTGATTGAATAACATATATCTATACTCTATATGTAACAAATATATTTAAATTGTTGACCAAAAATATAGTCAACATTAATACTAAAAAAAATATTTAATGATTTAAATATTTTATATCACTTTTAATTATATCATACCAACAACAACATCATAAAATGCCAATTTTACGGGTTATGGCATATATGCTATTTATTTGTATATCAATTTTAATTAACATATGCACATCATATCCATATCCATCGCCACAACAACAACAATATCAATGGCTAAACAACAACAATAACAGGCCATTCATGAATACAGCCAACAATGTGGTGCCCGTCATATGGCGTGACCCGAGATTTCCCAATCAAAGACCACAGATGTTATATATGCCGTAAGTTTTTTATATATATAATAATAAAAATATTATTTTATACATAATATTATAATTACTATATTTATTTTTAACAAAAAAAAAATTATATCAGTATAAATAACAATCGACAACAACAACAACTAATGCCCACCAGTGATGATATGATGGGCTCACCCGAGGATGAGACGCACGGACCACTAGTTGATGACCATCATCACCATCACCACCATTACCATCACGATCATGACTACGATGAAGAGGAATAAGTTTATACAGTAATTGTTGTACAGTATTATAATTTTTAAAAATTAATTACACTAATATAAAATCATTATTTTTCAGCATTATTATTATTATTAAGTTTTAATATATATTTAATATTTAAATTATCTCAATAAGCATACTATATCTTTAATCTACTGTTAAATTAAAATCTACTATTTTTTATATTTTTCATAAAATAATATTTAATAATTTAAATGTTATTTTCAATATTTTTTTTATATATATATTTTATACCGTATTATATAATAACTATAAAGGTGTTTAAAATTCATATAATTTTTTTTAATTTTGTTTATTAAAATTAATGTGTCATTAACTTTTTTACCCTTATATATATTATAGTATTAGAAAAAGTACAATATTTAACTTTATTTTATGTTAAAATTTTTACGACAAAATTACTTGTAAAATAATAGATATTTTCATAAAATCTAAATTACATTTTATTAATAAAAGTTTATTACAGTGTATTTATAAAAAAAACACAAATAATGAATATCTCATTAGTAAATGAATTGATATTTTTGCTACTATTGATAACACAATTGGTCAACGCTTTTGATGGCTATAATAATAATGATAATAATAACAATAACAAGAGATCTGTCCCACAGTTACCGCTGTCAGTGTTGGATCAACTGATGAACAACACTAATACGGGTGCTATTAATAATATTAATGGCAATCCATTTGGAAATATAAATAGCAATAATCCACTGAATGAACTGTTGGCTTCACTAATACCGGCCGGTAATTCAATAGATACCGGCGACTCTAGTTCGGGCACCGGTAGCGCCAGCACCGGCAGCACAGGAATTGTTGTTTTGGACTTTTTTCGTAATCTGATTGCTATGTTTTTGCGATCATTTGTCCAATTATTTCAAATGTTTCAATTGATATCGCGATCGCTGTTCGGTACAGGCGGTGGTCAGAGTCACGCATTTTTGTCAATTGATAAGGAAATTGCCGATTCAGGTAATAGACAGTAGTTTTTTATTTCAATGTTTTAAATATATATATAATTTGACATTTCATTCCCCCATTTTATTTTCAAAGATACTACTAATCATGAATTAAAACGTATTTTACGGCAAATCAAAGAGTCGGCCGAAGAGTATCCACTGAACGACATCACTAGTGATAAAATGTCACAAGAATTTGGAAAACAAATCAATAATTTTGTCAAACAATTGCCATCAATTGATAACAACAAAGCACTACAAGATCTAATCAATAGTGACTTATTTAAAGATACCGTAAAATCGGGAAAATTTGGTTTGTTTGGGGGCAGAGATAAGCGACAAGTTTTTGATGCAATTAATGGTCGCTTAGAGAGTCTGGAAGTGCCGCTCAAGACATTGTTGGATCACTTTTACAAAAGTCACTCAAAACTAAACAATGAATTTGATTATGAGTTTCCAATAAATCAATAAATTATTTAGTAAGTTATAACCTAATACTTTAGTATTTATAATAGTTATGTAAATTTATTCAGAAATAATAATATAAATTATGTAAAATTAATTTTTAAAAAAATAATTAATTAAAAGTACCATAATAATAATCATTATTAAAATAATATTACCTGTTATTACAAATAAATTATCATAATTTTTTTTTAAATTAATAAATAATAAATGAATAGTTGTTTTACTAATTACTTAATTCAAAAGTCAATTTTTATTACAAATTATTATTTAAGATACAATTTTTGTTTTAATACAAAAAAATATATTTTGAATATTTCAATAACATAATATAAACATTAATATTTTAATAATAATTATTATAATTTATACTGAATTAATAATTTTTATGTTTTGTAATAAATTGTATAAAGATTTACATTACAATAATTTACATAAACGACAGCTACAATCAAAATAGTATTTCTGTTTCAATAGTTTTCTTCTGAAAACAGTTGGAATCTTTGGATTTATATAATAAGTGGTCAACTCGTCGCCGGCGGTAATATATTGGTCAGCGATTACCTGTAATCTGTTGCCCACGGATTGGACGTAAACATTGAATGCACACGAATGGTCCAAAACGGACGCACCGATGAATATACCGCCACCACATTGAAACTTATCAGTGAAAACTAAGTCAAACGAATTGATAGTATATTTTCCAAACAAATCGACCAAATCATCAATAGGTAGTTCCACACCACAGGAACTGATCCTTTTGTGTATGTCTTTTATAACACCGACTTTAAACTCGTCTTTCAAAATGTAGTCGCGATGTGACATCAATTCGGCAAAACATCTCTGCTGTCCGCCAACTGAGTCGTACTTTTTATAAACAATTTGTGGATCAGCTTTGATAATCAGATACAATCTAAACAATAGTGCGGCCAAATCGTATTCATCGACCAGCTTCTGGTAGTGACTCTTCAATATCTGGCACTCATAACGATGTCCGGCCCTCCAGTCGTTTCGCTGACAGTTTCGGTCGCAATAAAACATGTGATTACAGACCGAACATCTCTTCAAAGCATCACTTTTGGTCAAACAGTTGTCACATACCTGTCCTTTATATTTATCGTTAATATTGTGGACAAACGGTGGACACTCTAATACCACATCATAGGGCTTATAGTTCTTCTCTGCTTTTATCATATTTTTCATTTCTATCTAATAATCTATAAAAAAAATTATAAATATTAAAATTGTGATTTTAAATATTATTTTAGATTAATATAATTATTAAGTTTTTTATAAGATTACAAAATAGTTTATTTATTATTAAATGTCATACAAATTTGAAACCCAATTAAACACTGATTGCACTATTGATTGCACAATGACTATCACTGTTGACTAAAGGGATGTTTCTATTAAATAGCTGTTTTAATCGGTAAATCAAACAAAATAAAAACTTATTTATAAAGTGTATGAAAATTTTAAAAATCATTGATCAGACAAATAAAATAAACTATTATTATTATTATTGCAAATTTTCTTTATACATATTGAAATTTTGTGAACCATAGGCACATATCATATGACTTATAAGAGTATAAAAATACTGTATTAAACTATTTGGTGCCACAAATGCTGAATAAAATCATCAAATATTGTTATTTTTGTTTGTTTGTCGGAAAAGTTTACTTTGATGTTAAAATGTAAAATGTTTTTTCAGATTAATAGCATAAAATATAGTAATCTTATTAACAGAAAAAATTAATTTATAACAATAATTATATTTAATATTAAATGATAAATAATTTTGATTATATTTTTAAAATAGATATAATTAAAGCAAATAATATGCAATTATAATAAAAATCCAATATTTATTATACAATATATATTTTTGATTTTTAAAATATATATAAGTGTCAGTAATATAAATAAATAATTTAGTTATTTAGATAAATATTTTATTATTAAATTACTTGTTTCTTAAAATAATATCTTTAATAAACAATAATGTCATCTCCATCACTGTCATCAATACATTTTAACGACAATTTAATATTTATGACAAAATATATATACTTAGCGGTATTTTTTTATTTATTTAATAAAATTGTTAATTGTTATCACATCTACGACAATGACAATCAAAATAATAGTAACTTTTCAATTGCATTCTTCTTCTATCAGTTGGCATTAATAAGCATTTATTAAGATAACTAACAGTCAATTCATCGCCGGCTTTAATATATTGTTCAGATATTATCAACAGTTTGTTACCAACAGATTGGAAACAGACATTAGAAGCACACGAATGGTTCAAAACGGACGCACCGATGAACATACCGGTACCACACGGTCTATGCGGTGGATGGATATTATCCCCAAAACAAATTTCATATGAATTGATAACATATTTTCCATAGAAATTAATAAAATCATTTAAAGATAGTTCTACACCACTAGAGCTGATCCTATCGTATAGATCTATAATGTTATTGCATCGATGACTATCTCTCATAATGTCTTCGTTATGTGTCATCAAATCGTTGAAACATCGCTGTTTTCCGTCAACAGTGTCATACATTCTGTTAACAATTTGTGGATCAGCTTTGATATTGAGATACAGACGCAACAATGGTTTCGCCAAATTGTTTATATCTTCCAGATTCTGGTAGTGATTCTTGAATATCTGGCACTCATACCGATGTCCGGCCCGCCAGTCGTTGCGCTGACAGTTTCGGTTGCAGTAATACATGTGTCCACAGTTCGCGCATTTCTTCAAACCATCACTTTTGGTCAAACAGTGGTCACATACCTGTCCTTTATATTTATCATTAATATTGTGTACAAACGGTGGACACTCTAACACCACTTCATAAGGCTTGTAGTCTTTCTGGGCTTTAATCATATTTTCTATACTGTCTATTCATCTAAAAATATATATATTTAAAATTATTAAAATTATTGATATATTTTGTTTAAAAGTTTGTTTTATAAAAAAATACATTAATGTGTTTTTAAATTATTAATCCATTTGCTAACCTATGAGTCATAGGCTATGACTATACTATTGTTAGGACTGGTATTGTCTGTTGAGGAAAGGGATGTTTTTATTTGAATTTGATAACTAAATCAATCAAAATGAAAAAGTACTTAAATAACATATAGTTATTGATAATATTATATTCTTTTATCGTAAAAAATGTATATAAATTGTTAATATTGTTTGGAAAAAAATTTTTACAAAATGAAATCATAGATACATTCAGTAATTGTATTTAATGTAAATTACTATTTAAAAATTGAATTTTGTTTTTATATACAATACAAATATGATATTAGTTATATATATATATATATATATATATTGTATGAATATCTTTTCGATTATAAATTTTATATTTTGTTATTGAATGTAATTTGATAAATGATTGAACAAAATAATAAATTAAGTAATTGTAAATTGAAAATTTAAAGTAGAATTTTAATAATAAGTTAGTAATACCAGAATACAAGCAAATATTAATATATAAAATATATATAAACATCATTTAGACTTTTATTGACAAAAAAAACATACAATTATATCAATTTACATCTATTATTAAATTAGTTATAATTAATTCGCAATATTGCTGTCACTATTGCTATCATTGACATCACATCTACAACAATGACACTGAAAATAGTAACCACTTTTCACAATAGCATTCTTCTGGTGACAGTTGAGATAAAAAATGTGGTCAACTCGTCGCTGTCGACGATGGGATGTCTGGTTATTATCTGTAGTTTGTTGTCCACATTGTCGATCAAAATATTGAAAGCACACGAGTGGTCCAAAACCGATGGAAATAATTACTAATTATTATTTCAAATAATTAAAAAAAAAAATTTTATTACTTACATAAAAGTCAATACAAATTAAAGTCAAGTTTTATTTAAAATTATTATTTAAAATATAATTTCCGTTTTAATAAAATAATAATGAAATTAAACAAATAAAATATAATCATTTATAATCATTAATATTTTAATAATTATAATTTATCCTTAATTAACAATTTTTATATTTTGTACTAAATTATATAAACATTTACATTACAATCATTTACATAAACGACAGATACAATCAAAATAGTATTTCTGTTTCAATAGTTTTCTTCTGAGAACAGTTGGAATCATTGGATTTATATAATAAGTGGTCAACTCGTCGCCGGCGGTAATATATTGGTCAGCGATTACCTGTAATCTGTTGCCCACAGATTGGACATAAACATTGAATGCACACGAATGGTCCAAAACGGACGCACCGATGAATATACCGCCACCACATGATATACGTGATTGAAACATATCAGTAAATACTATATCAAACGAATTGATAGTATATTTTCCAAACAAATCGACCAAATCATCAATAGGTAGTTCCACACCACAGGAACTGATCCTTTGGTGTAAGTCTAGTATAACATCGACTTTAAACCGGTCTCGCAATATATCTTCGCGATGTGACATCAATTCGGCAAAACATCTCTGCTGTCCGCCAACTGAGTCGTACTTCTTATAAACAATTTGTGGATCAGCTTTGATAATCAGATACAATCTGAACAATAGTGCGGCCAAATCGTATTCATCGACCAGCTTCTGGTAGTGACTCTTCAATATCTGGCACTCATATCGATGTCCGGCCCTCCAGTCGTTGCGCTGACAGTTTCGGTCGCAATAAAACATGTGATTACAGACCGAACATCTCTTCAAAGCATCACTTTTGGCCAAACAGTTGTCACATACCTGTCCTTTATATTTATCGCTAATATTATGGACAAACGGTGGACACTCTAATACCACATCATAGGGCTTGTAGTTCTTCTCTGATTTTATCATATTTTTCAATATTATCTAATTATAAAAAATTAAAAAAATATTAGTATAACAAAGTAAAATAATATAATTAAATTATTATAATAATAAGCTATAATTACATTATTTTTTTCAATTCACAATTTAAAACAAAACTACTAATCCGTTTACTAACCATTTAACTATTGATTGTATTATTTTTAGGAGTGGGTGAGGAAAGGGATGAAAATGAAAAAATTAATTAAAAAATTAATAGTTATTCAAAGTAAATATTGTTTGCTTTTATATTATCAAAAGAGAAAATGTTTAGAGTATATCAATAAATGTAAAAATTATTTGCAAAACAATATTTTCAAAATGATATCATAGAGATATACAATAATTTTATTTATTGTAAAATTACTATTAAAATATTGAATTTTGTTTATACATACAACAAAAATTAGGATGTTTGTAATATTATATAACTTTATATATTATGAATTTTTAATTTAAAATGCAATTTGAGAATAATAATGAAATAATACAAAAAAATTATTAATTAAAGTTATAGTGAATTGAAAGTACAATTTTAATAATAAGCTATTGAGAAATATCACTTGTGATTATAATTAATATAATTAAATTAAAATAGTTAAAAATTATATAGACTTTTATTGTTTTAAAACACAAACAATTATTGCAATTTACATCTATTATTGAAATAATTTATATCATAATTAATGTCAATATTGTTGTCTTTATCGTTGTCATCACATCTACAACAATGACATTGAAAATAGTATCCTCTTTTCAATAGCATTTTTCTGGTAACAGTTGATAGCTTAGTATCGATATAAAAAATGGTTAACTCGTCGCCGGCGGCGATAAAATCTTTGGCTTTTATCTGTAATTTGTTGCCAACAGTGTCGGCAAAGACATTGAAGGCACACGAGTGGTCCAAAACTGATGCACCGATGAATAATCCGGTGCCAACTGTAGGACGCAATTGGTTGATATCATTACAGTTATTGGAGAGCATCTCAAATGAATTGATTTTATATTTTCCAAATAAATCTACAAAATCATCGACAGGTAGTTCCACACCACAAGAACTGATCCTATTGTGAATGTCTTGCATAACACCAACTTTGATTCGATCTCGCAGTATATCTTCGCGATGTGACATCAAATCGGCGAAACATCGCTGCTGTTGTCCGCCAACAGTATCGTACTTTTTGTATGCAATTTGTGGATCAGCTTTGATAATCAGATACAATCTGATGAAAATTGTTGTCAAATTGTTTTTATCAATTAGCTTCTGGTAGTGATTCTTGAATATCTGGCACTCATACCGATGTCCGGCCCACCAGTCGTTGCGCTGACAGTTTCGGTCGCAATAATACATGTGTCGACACGCCGAACATTTTTTCAAGACAACACTTTTGGCCAAACAATGGTCACATACCTGTCCTTTATATTGACTTTTAATATTGTGGACAAACGGTTGACATTCAAACACCACATCAAGTGGTTTATAAGATTTCTCTGCTTTAATCATATTTCCTAATACTGTTAGATAAGAAAATATATATACAGTATATTAAAAATATTAGATTTATAATTTAATATACAGTATATATCTATTAAGATTTAATTAATAAATGTTATTAATTATATATTTAAAAAACATTCAAAGTATTGGTTGTTTTTTATAACTGTATTGCATTTTGTTAGTTAATATTATATAAATATAATATCGATTACTATGTGTCACAATAGGATTAAAAATATATTTACAATAATTGAAATTAAAAACAAAAATAAAGTAAAAGTAATTTGCAAATTCAAAGTACAATTTTAATGATTTATTAGTTATAAATATCATATCGAAAATACATAATTATTTGTCAAAAAAAATAACAATTATTGTAAATTTATTTTTATCGCAATCAATGTCAACATTGCTGTCGCTATCATTGACATCACATCTACAACAATGACAATCAAAATATTATTGATCTTTCAATAGCATTCTTCTGGTATTAGTTGGCAATTCATTATTGATATAACTTTATGTTTAAAAATCTATTTCTAAAATTTTACGGCCAATAGGTTTATAAAATAGTCAATTGTCGCTATTTTATAGTTTCAAAAAAAATCAAATCATTAATAATTTCGGTTATAAATTATAATTATGAATCATAAGCTCATATACTTACAAAAAAATATATGACATATAACTGTATATAATTTAAATTTATGTTATTTTCAATGGTGTCACTAATACTGACTAAAATTGACAAAAATTTTGTTGATCGGCAAAGTTTATAATTAACAGTGATATTAAAAATAAGTATTTAAAACAATAATTAATTACAAAAAAAATCAATACTGAATATTATTTTTATTATTAAAAAAATTTGTATAAAATATATGATTATAGACAAATTATTTTTTTTTAAAAAAACATTGATAATTCACTAAAAAATTAAATACAATATTTATTACAAAATTATATATTTTTGATAACATTTCAAATATTGTATTGTAATAAAATTACAAATTATACATAAATACTATTTGGATCTTAAAAAATTAAATTAAATGTCTAATAAAGTGGATAAGTGTTTAATAAAATGTCCTAAATTTTTGTAATTATCACTATAACTGTCATCATTTCCATCAATACATCTACGACAGTGACAATCAAAATAGTAATAATTTTTTAATAGCATACTTCTGGTATCAATTGGCAAATTATGATCGATATAACTAACAGTTAACTCATCACCTGAAGTAATAAAACGTTTAGATATTATCATCAGTTTATTACCAATTGATTGGATATAGAGATTGGGTGCACACGAGTGGTTCAAAACGGACGCACCAATGAATAAACCGCTACCAAATGATTGCTGCGATTGATGTAAAACTTCATTAAAACATATTGAAAATGAATTGATAACATATTTGCCATAGAAATCAATTAAATCATTGATAGATATTTGTAGACCACATAAGCTGATAATCATATGATGTAATTCTTGAATCTTATTAAATCGACTAAAGTCTTGGACAATGTTTTCCTGATGTGACATCAAATCGTTGAAACATCGCTGTTGTCCGCTAACAGTGTCATACATTTTGTTAACAATTTGTGGATCAGCTTTACTTGTGAAATACAATCGCAACAATGTTGTGGCCAAATCCTTTACATCGACCAGTTTCTGGTAGTGATACTTGAATGTTTGGCATTCATACCGATGTCCGGCCCGCCAATCGTTTCGCTGACAGTTTCGGTCACAATAATACATGTGTCCACAAACCGCGCATTTCTTCAAACCACTATTTTTGGCCAAACAGTTGTCACATACCTGTCCTTTGAATTTATTGTAAACATTGTGGACAAATAGTGGACACTCTAAGACAACTTCAAACGGTTTGTAGTTTTTCTGTGCTTTAATCATATTTTTTTAATACTGTCTGATAATTGAAAACAATAATTATAAATAAAGTAAAATCATATTTGAGAATCAAAAATAAATAATAAGATGATTACATTGATATAAGATTTTGAATTCACAATTTAAAATCAATTAGTTTACTAACCAATTAAACACTGACTGTGAAAAGGTATTGATAGGTTATTTATACGGTTGAGGAAAGGGATGTTTTTATTGAATAGACATCTAAATCGGCGAATAAAATCAATAATGAAAAAAGTCATTAAATAACATATACAGTAACATCAAAGTAAATTTTGCCGACAAAATTAAAAAAAACAATATTTTTAGACTTTATTCAGCATTTGTGGCATCAAATAGTTTAATACAGTTATATTGATTTGTTTTTTCATTGACATTAGAAACATAATAACAATAATTCAATTACTGGTTAATTAATTAACAAATTTTGTTGGTTTTTAATAATACATTAACTATTATTTAATTTTAGATATTTATTAAATTTAATTCTATAATACTTAAATATTTTAATTTTAATGATCTTATTTGATTAATAATAATAATATTTATTAATTTTATGATATTTTTGAACGATTAGACAATATTTGAAAATATGATAAAAGCACAGAAAGACTATAAACCGCATGAAGTGGTGTTTGATTGTCAACAACCGTTTATCAACAATATTAAGGATGAATATAAAGGACAGGTATGTGACAACTGTTTGGTCCAAAAGAATGATTTGAAGAGATGTTCGGTCTGTAATCACATGTATTATTGCGACCGAAACTGTCAGCGCAACGACTGGCGGGCCGGACATCGGTATGAGTGCCAGATATTTAAGAGTCACTACCAGAAGCTGGTGGATGTACACTATTTGTCCACAACATTACTCAGATTGTATCTCATAAACAAATCTGATCCACAAATTTTTTACAAAAAGTATGACACTGTTGGCGGACAACAGCGATGTTTCAACGATTTGATGTCACATCGCGAAGACATTATCCGCGACAGTCGTCGAGTTTCTAACATTCAAGAGATAGTCAATACAATCAACTCCTGTGATGTGAAACTAGGTTTCAATGATTTAATCGATTTGTATGGAAAATATGTTATCAATTCATTTGGATATTCATATTGTTTTAACAACCAATCGGATGAATGTTTTGGTAGCGGTATATACATCGGTGCGTCCGTTTTGAATCACTCGTGTGATTGCAATCTCTCTTTCCAATCAATTGGTAACAAACATCTAATAATATCTAAACGATATATTAGTGCCGGCGAAGAGCTAACTGTTGAATATATCGACTTAACTTTGCCAACTGATGCCAGAAGAAAATTATTGAAATTTTATTACTATTTTGATTGTCACTGTCGTAGATGTGATGAGAACATTGATGAAGAGTATAGTGATGATGACAGTGATGATGATGACAGTGATGATGATGACAGTGATGATGATGACAGTGATGATGATGACAGTGATGACGACAGTGACAATGATGGCAGTGATGATGACATATATTTTGAAACATATGTTAATAATCTCCAAATGACATATTATTTAATGAAACAATTAAGTAATTTAATGTAATATTTTATTTTATATTAATTAAAATATTATAAAAGAATATTAAAAATTCATTTCATAAAAAATAATAAATATTGAATTTAATTTTTAATGAATGTTGTTTTTAATCATTTCTAAAAATTGTATGCCATTTGTTTTATGCTGTTTTTAAAAATAAATAATTATTAATTAAAAGATTAATATGTTAACATTAAATAAGCTAGCTAATTTTTGTATTTGTTGAAAATTTATATATTTCGTATAGTGAACTTATCTAGCTTATTTAATGTTAACATAATACATCTATTAGTCAATTTACTAACTAATTATTATAACTACTGACTGACTGTACTATTGTTAGGACTGGTATGTTGTCTGTACTGTTGAGGAATGGAAAAGGATGTCTTTATTTGAATAGACATCTAAATCAGCGGATTAATCAAAATCAAAGATATTAAATAAATGATAGCTAATAACCGAAAATATTGTGTATAATATAAAATCATTGATACAGTAATTGTATTTAATGTAAAATAATATTTTCATTTTCATTTATAAATTTATTTATTAATAAAATATACAAAATGCGATATATTGTATGTATTTGAATATCAATCATAACAATTACAATTAGAAAAATTTAATTTCAAATAATACAGGTATTTATTGATAAAACAAAATGATAATAAAACTACTTTCCAACAATTTTTCGAATTTTAATGATTAATTAGTTAAATTAAATATCATATCAAAAGTATTAAATGAATAGAAATTTTAAAAATATATTAAAAAATCATTTTAGACTTATAATGATAAGAGAGAAAAAACAAACAAAAAAAATACTATTAATGCAAAATTAAATCTTTGATTAAAAAATAGTTTATATATCATAATTAAATGTTAACATTACTGCAATTAATACAAATCATTGGTCATCACATCTACGACAGTGACAATCAAAATAGTATTGACTTTTCAATACCATTCTTCTGATATCAGTTGACTTCTCTATTAGTTTATCGTTGATATAACTAACAGCCAACTTATCTCCGGCGGTAATATATGTGGCAGACATTATGGCCAGTTTGTTGCCAACAGATTTGAAATAAACATTGTAAGCACACGAGTGATCCAAAACCGATGCACCGATGAATAAGCCATCGCCACATATATAGGTCGAACCGTTTAAATGATTGTAGACATAAGTTTCATATGCATTGATAACATATTTTCCATACAAATCGATTAAATCATTGACAGGTAGTTCCACACCACACGAACTGATCCAATAGTGTATCTCTTGTATGATTAGATATCGACGTATGTCTCGGACAATATCTTCGCGATGTGACATCAAATCGTTGAAACATCTCTGTTGTCCACCAATAGTGTCGTACATTTTGTTAAAAATTTGTGGATCAGCTTTCTTCATAAGATACAATCGCAACAATGGTTTGGAATCGTTTACAATCATCAGTTTCTTGTAGTGATTCTTAAATATCTGACACTCATACCGATGTCCGGCCCGCCAGTCGTTGCGCTGACAGTTTCGGTCGCAATAATACATGTGTTTACACACCGAACATCTCTTCAAACCATCATTTTTGGCCAAACAGTGATCACATACCTGTCCTTTAAATTTATCGTAAACATTGTGTACAAATGGTTGACATTCAAACACCATTTCAAACGATCCGTAGTTTTTATCCGCTTTAATCATATTTTCAAATATTGTCTAATAATCTAAACAAATGCTTATAATATAAATTTAAAAAATATATTTATTTTATAAAATAATAATAATATAAATATAAAGTTTTTTAATTTACAACTTAAAGAAATATAATTTAATTTTTAATTTAAGTAATAATTAATAAACTATTAATTACCAATCATTGATATCCAATTAACAACTGATAGCAATACTGCTTGTGTTAAATGTAAGTTAAAATCGGCGGATCAATCAAAATAATTTTTTTTGCAAATATATGTTACAAAATGTATTTAGGAATTATAGTTAAATTTATTTACATATATGTTGTTATATCAATATTACTGTATAATACTATTTGGTGCCACAAATGCTGAACAATGTCTACAAATATTGTTATTTTTAAATGTTTTGTCGGCAAAGTTTACTTTGATGTTAACCACTAAATCGCAATCGTTTGCTATTATATTTGGTATATCATTAGTACTCTTATTTATGGGTCATTCAATCAGAATTTGAAATTCAACTAAACTATAATTAAAGAGTAAAAAATTTTATTTATTTATTTTTGAAACAGTATAAAGCATTCAATAATTATTTTTTAAAAAAAACATTAATAACTCACTAAAAATTATATTCAATATTTATTACATATATTTTTGATAATATATTATAAATTTATAATATTCTAATGAAATAGTTTAATAATAATATGAAAAAATATCTTAATTAATACAAATATACGGTTTAATAAATTGTTATATAAAAATTATATGCGATATTCAATAAAGTTTAGATTATAATATTTTTTTTTTGCAATCTATACATAATTATTTAAAAATTAATTGTTTCATAAAATAATAGGGCAATAAATTAACATTAAAGTCATCCAAATCACTGTCATCATTGGCATCACATCTACGACAGTGACAATCAAAATAGTAATCAGTTTTCAATCGCATTCTTCTGGTAACAGTTGGCAGCGAAGGATTTACATAATAAGTGGTCAACTCTTCGCCGGCGGTAATAAATCGTTTAGCTATAAGCAAATGATTGGTACCAATAGATTGGAAAAAGACATTGAAGTCACACGAGTGCTTCAAAATGGATGAACCAATGAATATACTGCTACCACACGGTTGATCCGGTTGGTCATCAAAACGATTTTCAAATGAATTGATTACATATTTTCCATATAAATCAACCAAATCATCGATAGATAGTTCCACACCACAGGAGATGATCCTAAAGTATAGATCAACAATATTAACCAATCGACGGCTGTCTTTGAAAATGTCTTCGCGATGTGACACCAAATCATTGAAACATCGCTGTTGTCCGCCAATAGTGTCGTACTTTTTGCTAAAAGTTTTTGGATCAGATTTGCTTATAAGATATAATCTGAGTAATGTTGGACACAAATTGTTTTCATCTAATAGCTTCTGGTAGTGGCTCTTAAATATCTGGCACTCATACCGATGTCCGGCCCTCCAGTCGTTGCGCTGACAGTTTCGGTCGCAATAATACATGTGTCCACAAACCGCGCATTTCTTCAAACCACTACTTTTGGCTAAACAGTTGTCACATACCTGTCCTTTAAATTTATCATTAATTTTGTGGATAAATGGTTGGCATTTAAACACCACTTCAAATGGTTTGTAGTCTTTCTGTGCTTTAATCATATTTTCAAATATTGTCTAATATTAATCGTAAAAAATAATGATATAAAGTGTAATAATATCATAGACTTAAAAAAGATTTTTAACTACAATTTAGTAAATACTTTAATGTGTTATTAAAATATCATTCCGTTTGCTAACCAATTACCACCACTGACTGTACTATTGTTAGGACTGATATTGTCTGTAATGATGAGGAAAGGGATGAATTTATTTGAATAGACATCTAAATCGGCCGATCAATCAATCAAAATAGCAAATAAAGTCTCTATTATTAATATTAAACAATCTTATTATTTAAACTACTATTAATTTTGCAAATATTGTTATTTTGTTTGTTTGTCGGCAAAGTTTACTTTGATGTTAATCTATGCTTAAACTTATTTTTTATTAATAATAACAATAGTTTGCTATTAAATTTGTATTAGAAATAAGTTATTACACTATCGTTAGTAACCTTATTGAAGGCTCACACTTTGTCAGAAATTTTTATAAAAATTTTAAATATAATTAAATAGTAATATTAAAAATAGAATTTTTTAAACACTAATTCACTAAAATAGTTTATAATTAATGATTTTTTATTAATTATTATTTTTTTTACAAACAGTATAAAGCAAATAACATATAATTTTAAAATTATATAAAAACAATATTAATAACTCACTATAGATTAGATCCAATAATTTATTACAAATTATATTTATTTATTTTTTGGTTACATATTATAAATTTTTATTATTTTATGTTAGTAAAATTATAATTATAATTTGCAAAAAAAATATTTTAAATTTATACATAAATAATTACCAAAAAATTAATTACCGTAATTGTTTCATAAAATAATCTGTTAAATAGTTAAATATTTTAATTAAAATATTTGTAATAAAAAATTCTCATATTTATTAGAAAACATCAGAAAACAATACAAAAATTTTTATTAAAAAATTAAATCTAATTTTTATGACAAATTAATCGATATTTTTGAATATAAATGTAAATGTATCGATATAAATGAAATTAATTGTTATCACATCTACGACAGTGACAATCAAAATAGTATTGAGTTTTCAATTGCAATCTTCTGGTATGAGTTGGCATCAATAAGCAGACATTATTAAGATAACTGACAGCCAACTCATCGCCGGCTTTAATATATTGTTCAGATATTATCAACAGTTTGTTACCAACAGATTGGAAAACCACATTAGGACTACACGAATGGTTCAAAACGGACGCACCGATGAACAAACCGGTACCACACGGTTGGTCCGGTGGATGGATATTATCGCCAAAACAAGTTTCAAATGAATTGATAATATATTTTCCTTAGAAATCAATTAAATCAATGGCAGGTATTTCCACATCACATGAGCTGATCATACAGTATAGACCTCCAATGTTAGCGCACCGACGTTTGTCTCGGTAAACGTTTTCGTAATGTGACATCAAATCGGCGAAACTTCGTTGCTGTCCGCCAACAGTGTCGTACTTTTTGTTAACTACTTGTGGATCAGCTTTGATCTTGAGATATAATCGCAGCAATGGTATGGCATAATTATTTATATCCAGCAGATTCTGGTAGTGGCTCTTAAATATCTGGCACTCATAACGATGTCCGGACCGCCAATCATTGCGCTGACAGTTTCGGTCGCAATAATACATGTGTTTACACACCGAACAACTCTTCAAGCCATCACTTTTTGTCAAACAGTGGTCACATACCTGTCCTTTATATTTATCGTTAATATTGTGTACAAACGGTGGACACTCTAACACCACTTCGTTAGGCTTGTAGTCCTTCTGTGCTTTAATCATATTATCAATACTGTATGATATGATAAATACAAATTATAAAGTTTAAAAATTTGATTATTTATCGACTAAAATAACATAATTTATTTATTTTTAATTAAAACTTTAGAAAAATAGACTAATTTTTAAAATTAAATACTTACCAAATTTAGTCACTATAGATATCTAAATCGATAGATAAAACAAAATAGTGCATACAATATATATGTAATACAATATATAATTATTAAATTTCATTTACATATTGTAATTATGAATACTGAGAGTTACTGGTGGCTAACTTATGTGAGTTAACTTACAATAATAAATGACATATCAATATAACTGTATTAAACTATTTGGTGCCACAAATACTAAATAAAGTCTAGAAATATTGTTATTTTTGTCGGCAAAGTTTTTCTTTGATGTTAACATACTTTTAGTGTTTTTAGAAAATACTGTAATTAGTTATTGCTGTTTAGGTTTGGTAACTGTTAATTGACTTATTGATAGATCCTATAATTTAATTAACCATATAATTAGTAGTGAAATTAGAAATAATTTACTTTATTATTAGATAATTAATAATTTTTATTAAATAACATAAAGCAAAAAAATATTTATCATATATATATATATATATAACTTTAATATAAATTAATACACAATATTTAGAATTATTTAAATAAAACTCATAATTTACATAAAATTAAATTCAATAGTAGTTGCATAACATTATAAATTCTACAAAATTTCAATAATAATATTTTTTAAAAATCATTTCAATTTATACATAAATATTATTTAAAACTTATATTAGTTAATTGTTTTATAAAATAATCGGCTAAATCAACATCAATGTCATTATCATCATAAATGTCAGTATCAATACCAGCAATACATCGACGACAGTGACAATCAAAATAGTAGTGACATTTCAATAGTAATCTTCTGCAATCAATTGGCAACTTATGATTGATATAACTGACAGCTAACTCATCGCCGGCAGTAATAAATCGTTTGGATATTAGCACCAGTTTAGTACCAAATGAATGAAAAGAGACATTAGGAGCGCACGAGTGGTTCAAAATGGACGCACCGATGTATATACCGCTACCAAATGGTTGAACCGATTGATGTATAATATCGATATAAGAAGTTGTAAATGAATTGATAACATATTTGCCATATAAATCAATTAACTCATTGACAGATAATTGCAAACCACATAAGTTACTGATCCGATTGTGTAGTTCTTGAATCTTTGAAACTCGACGACTGTCGCGGACAATGTCTTCGCGATGTGTCATCAAATCGGCAAAACATCGCTGATGTCCTCCAGTAGTGTTGTACTTTTTGTAAACAATTTGTGGATCAGTTTTTGTGATAAAATACAATCTGATCAATGTTGGGGCCAATTCCTTTACACCGACCAGTTTCTGGTAGTGACTCTTAAATATCTGGCACTCATATCGATGTCCGGCCCGCCAGTCGTTGCGCTGACAGTTTCGGTCGCAATAATACATGTGATTACATACCGAACAACTTTTCAAATCATCACTTTTGATCAAACAGTGGTCACATACCTGTCCTTTAAATTCTTTGTGAATATTGTGTACAAATGGTTGTTGATATTCAAACACCACTTCAAACGGTTTGTAGTTTTTCTGTGCTTTAATCATATTTTCAAATACTATCTAATAGTTTTTTAAATATATATATATATATATATATATAAAGAATATAATTATAAAATTATTAAAAATTATAATTTCTTATTTAATTAAAATATTTTTTTAGTTCAAACTTTTAAATAATAGTTTTATTTAATAGTAAATATATTATTTCTGATAAATTTCAGTTATATTATTTAGTTTTTATTAATTTATTATAATAATTAATTTCCTCGACAGTCATAATATAATGTTTATAATATTTTAATTTTGTTTTGTTTATAATAACTATTTAGTGATAATATATAAATATAAACCAGTTGATAATGCTAACTTTGTCTAACTTACATTACTTTATGCTAATTATATTTCATAAATTTATGACTAAATTTGGCAATCGCTACAAAAATATAATATAAATAATTTTATAAATAAATTTATCTTATTTTTTGTTTATATATTACTTAAGTATGCTTTTATTATACAATTTTTTTGAATTCAATTTACATATTATTGTTGTAAATATTTATATATTTGTTTTTCTGTAGTCATAGACTTTTATTAAGTTTATTAATGGGACTTTTTTTTATAAAAATAAAAATATTTAAAAAAAATAATAATTTGTTAATAAATTATTAAACTACTTAATACTATTTAATAAATTGATTATTGAAATCAAATTAAATAATATAATTGAAAAAGTTTTTATTAATTTTTTTTAGTTACATTTATTTTAATAATTTAATCTAATAAATTTCGATATCATCATTTAACTGAGTATTATAATTTTTGTTTAGATTTTAGTTATACAGTTTATTAATTAGTCAAATATTTTTTTTGAAAAATTTAATTTGATTTTAACATATCTAAAATGTTTATTAAATAATAACAATCAGTTGATATTTGTTTTGATATATATTTACTGTAATCTGATTGATGTCCTCTCTGTTAGAAATTGAAATTTTTATAACAATAATTTACAACATAAATCAATAATTAATGATTTATTTGTATGAAAACTTATAGACAAATATTTAATTAAAAAAATGATTAATCACTAAAAATTAATTAAATTAAAATTATATATATTATAATTTAAACTTAAATTATTTCATGACATGTTTCATAAAATATTATAATAAATATAATCAACAATATCATCATCACTGTCATCATTGCTATCACATCGACGACAGTGACAATCAAAATAGTAATCACTTTTCAATAGCAATCTTCTCGTATCAATTGGCAACTTATGATCGATATATCCAACAGTTAGCTCTTCGCCGGCAGTAATATATCGTTCAGATATTATTGTATGTTTGTTACCAATTGATTGGAAACAGACATTGGGTGCACACGAGTGGTTCAAAACGGACGCACCAATGAATAAACCGCTACCAAATGGTTGATCCGGTTGGTCGTCAAAACAATTTTCAAATGAATTAATAACATATTTTCCATACAAATCGACCAAATAATTCATAGATAATTGCACACCACATGAGATGATCCTAAAGTATAGATCAACAATATTATCCATTCGACGTCTGTCTTTGAAAATGTCTTCGCGATGTGACATCAAATCATTGAAACATCGCTGTTGTCCGCCAATAGTGTCGTACCTTTTGTTGTACCAGTTTTTGGATCAGATTTGCTTATAAGATATAATCTGAGTATTGTTGGACACAAATTGTTTTCATCGAATAGCTTCTGGGAGTGATTCTTGAATATCTGGCACTCATACCGATGTCCGGCCCGCCAGTCGTTGCGCTGACAGTTTCGGTTGCAGTAATACATGTGTCCACAGTTCGCGCATTTCTTCAAACCATCACTTTTGACCAAACAGTGGTCACATATCTGTCCTTTATATTGATTGTAAATAATGTGTACAAACGGTGGACACTCTAACACCACTTCATTAGGTTTGTAGTCTTTTTGTGCTTTAATCATATTTTCAATACTATCTAATAATTTATACGTTTTTATTATGTTTTAAAATTAGATTAATAGACATTCATTTTTGTTTAACTTATTAATTAAATCTAATAAATTTCCACATCATCATTTAACTACATATTATAATTTATATTTTTTATTTATAAATATTTATGATAATAACTTAGTTATTTTTTTGTATTGTTAAAGGAATGTAAATATAAAAAATAATTTCAACTGTTATCACATATTTTTGTGATATTATTTTATAATTATTATTAGTTTTTGATAAAAAAAATTTTACTAATTTAATTATTTATAATATGATTATTTTTATTTTGTTAACATAAATAGATATAAATTTATTATTGATTTTATTCTTAAATTTAAAATTATATTATAATATTACATTTTATTTACAAAACTTTATTATAATTAATAATAAAATTGAAAATAAATATTTAAGATTATAATATTAAAAATGAATGATTTTTATTATGATTAAAAAATATCATAAATCAACATTGACAATTCAATACAAATTAGATCAAAATTTATACAAAATTTAATAACAGTTTAATAACATTTTAAATATTGTATGTATAAAAACATATAAATATATATTAATTCAATTTAAATAAATATCATGTTATAATATTACATTAAACTATTTAATTGTTTAATTAAATGATATGTTAAATTAACATTAATGTCATCCCTATCACTGTCATCAACAATGCCATCAACACATCTACGACAGTGACAATCAAAAAAGTAATTAACTTTCAATAACTTTCTTCGCCTATCAGTTGTCCACAAAAGGTTAGCATAATTGATGGTCAACTCATCGCCGGCGGTAACGTTTTGGTTGGCTATAATTTGTAGTCTATTGCCTGTACACGAGTGGTCCAAAACCGACGCGCCGATGAATATACCGCCGCCGCATAATTGCTGAAATACTGGACCAGTACTGAAATTTACACCAAATGAATTGATAGTGTATTTACCAAACAAATTGACCAAATCATCGACAGTTAGTTCCACACCACAAGAACTGATCCTTTTGTGGATATCTAGTATGAGATTCACTTTACGTTTGTTTTGCAGTATCTCTTCGCGATGTGTCATCAAATCGGCAAAACATCTCTGCTTTCCGTCAACAGTGTCGTACATTTTGTAGACAATTTGTGGATCAGCTTTAATAATCAGATACAACCTGAGCAATAGTGAGGCCAAATCGTATTCATCGACCAGTTTCTGGTAGTGATTCTTGAATATCTGGCACTCATACCGATGTCCGGTCCGCCAGTCTTTACGCTGACAGTTTCGGTCGCAATAATACATGTGTTTACATACCGAACATCTCTTCAAACCATCACTTTTGGTTAAACAGTTGTCACATACCTGTCCTTTATATTGATAATCAATTTTGTGGACAAATAGTTGGCATTCAAACACCACTTCAAACGGTTTGTAGTCTTTCTGTGCTTTAATCATATTTTCAAATATTGTCTAATAATCTAAAAATTATAAAAAAATATATAATTATAAAAAGCTAAATAATATATAATACTTAAAAAATATAACCAAAAATAACTAATAATACTTAAAATGTATTTTAATTTACAACTTTAGAAATTATTAAAAATATTAATTTGTTTGATAACCAATTAACACACCACTGACTGTACTATTGTTATAACTGGTTTTGTTTGTATTTGAATAGATATCTAAATCATCGAATCAATCAAAATAAAAAAACACAATATTTAAATATTTTCAGTCAATATTATTTACAAATTTATAGCTATTATAACAAAAAATTGTGCTGTATATGTAACTGTGTATTCAGTATATTGTTTGCAAAATAAAATTATAAATACAGTAATTTAAGTTTTGTTTTTAATATACTAAAAAATACTATATTTGTAATATTAATATCATATTGAATACAATCTATAATATTTCAAATATTAAAATTATATTTATTGGTAAAACAAAATAAAAAATAAATAGATATAATTTGCAAAAAAATATTCTCTAGTTTCAATAATATATAATGCATAAAAAATATTTCAATTTATACATAAATATTATTTAAAAATTGTAATGAATGGCATATTTTCCCCATTCATTCAATTATTAATTTACAGTAATATTCCTATAATTTAGTATTAAGTTTTATAGCATTGACTATACAGTCATTTATAGTAACATTTATTATTAGTGATTAATACTAATCTATATGTATAGTCAATACTTATGTTATATGTCCTTCAAAAGGCCTATAAAAGCCTATACCTAAGCCTTTTAGAGGGGAGTTGTGTTTTACCACCCGTTGAGTGAAGTCGATACCCAAGCACTGGTTGCGATCATCACACTATATAGTGTATACTAGTTTGATATGATCGGCAACAGTGACCACTTTCCCCGACATTAATAATTAATAACACATTTTATAAACCATTTTAAATACATTTTTATTACATTTTAACTATACTTTAATTTAACAATATTTGTAACCAGTTTTGTATAAATAGTTTAATAAACATTATTTTGTTTACTATTGAATGGTGTGTTATTAGCCGTAAGGCCAAGTGTTTCCCGAAGTCTATCCAAAGTCTTGTATCAATCCTACGATCTCTACTGAAGTCTACGCTTATACAGATCATCTACAGGTGCTATCCTGGCCCCGGTACCCGAAGTTACCGTTAGTTGGGGTTAAATAGTTGTCACACCGAGTGATAAGCGTATATAAACCGATCACAACATCGGTGGGCTATCTAACCAAAGATACCAATCACTTCAAAATTGAATCAGTTAATTGTTTCATAAAATAATTTGCTAAATTTTTGTCATCATTATCATGACTGTCATTAACGCCATCAATACATCTACGACAGTGACAATCAAAATAGTAATAATTTTTTAATAGCATACTTCTGGTATCAATTGGCAAATTATGATCGATATAACTAACAGTTAGCTCTTCACCGGAAGTAATAAATCGTTTTGATATTATCATCAGTTTATTGCCAATTGAATGGAAAGAGACATTGGGTGCACACGAGTGGTTCAAAACGGACGCACCAATGAATAAACCGCTACCAAATGTTTGATCCGATAGATGGATAAAATCAGTAAAACAAGTTGAAAATGAATTGATAACATATTTGCCATAGAAATCAATTAAATCATTGATAGATATTTGTAGACCACATAAGCTGGTGATTATATGATGTAATTCTTGAATCTTATTAAATCGACTAAAGTCTTGGACAATGTTTTCCTGATGTGACATCAAATCGTTGAAACATCGCTGTTGTCCGCCAACAGTGTTGTATTTTTTGAATACAATTTGTGGATCAGCTTTACTTATGAAATACAATCGCAACAATGTTGTGGCCAAATCCTTTACATCGACCAGTTTCTGGTAGTGATTCTTGAATATCTGGCACTCATACCGATGTCCGGCCCGCCAATCGTTTCGCTGACAGTTTCGGTCGCAATAATACATGTGTCCACAAACCGCGCATTTCTTCAAACCACTACTTTTGGCCAAACAGTTGTCACATACCTGTCCTTTGAACTTATTATAAACATTGTGGACAAATAGTGGACACTCTAAGACTACTTCCAACGGCTTATAGTTTTTCTGTGCTTTAATCATATTTTCAATACTATTTAATAATTGAAAAAATAAAATAATATATTATTTAAACAAAACATTTTTGGGAAAATAGTCTATTATTTAATTAGAAAATAAAAATTACTTTATGTTAATTAATTTAATTTAATAAATCTCCACGTCATCATTTAACTGCTTATTATAATATTTTATTTTGTTTTTAGTTATAAATTATAACTTATAATATCAATTGATTTATTTTATATGGTATCATTTATTTTAGTTTTTATCTTAGTTATTTATTTTTGTTATTAATGTAATGTAAACATTGAAAAAAATACCTAAACTGTTATCTTTCTTTTATTTCATAATAATATATTGATATGAATAGTATTAGTTTTAAATAAAAATTTAAAAAATTGTTAATTTACTTATTTATAAACTAAATTAAATTTATATTAATTTTCGGACTGTTTTATTGTGTTTTATTAAGTGTTTTATTAATAATAATAATTAGGTTTAATATATTTGTCATATTTTATATTATAACATAAATTTTGAAATTTTTATAAGTTTACTATAATATAATTATAAATGAAATTAAAAAATATTTTTTTTCTAAATTATAATTTATTAATTTTATTAAACGCTAGAAAGCATATTCAGGTACAAAAAAAATAATTTACTTAAAATTAAATTCAATACTAATTGAATATTCTTGATAACACATACTATAAATTAATATTCTTTTGTATAAAAAAAAATCAATAATAATAATAACGAATTCAATTTATTTAATAATATTAATTAAAAATTGAATTATTTAATTGTTTCATAAAATAATCCGTAAATTCATCATTGATTTCATTATCGACATCATTGTCATCATGAATGCCATCAATACAACTACGACAGTGACAATCAAAATAATAATAAGTTTTTAATATCAATTTTCTGTTAACAGTTGATACCATACGACTGACATAACTAACAGTTAACTCATCGCCGGCTGTAATAAATTGTTTAGTAATTATCGATAATTTGTTGTCAACAGATTGGATAAAGACATTGGGTGTACACGAGTGGTTCAAAACGGACGCACCAATGAATAAACCGCTACCACATGTTTGCTCCGTTTGGTCGATAATATTAAGATAAGATGTTTCATATGAATTGATAGTATATTTTCCATACAAATCTATTAAATCATTGACAGATAATTGCAAACCACATGAGCTGATCCTATAGTGTTGAACCCGAATGTTATTAAATCGATGTCTGTCGCGGACAATGTCATCGCGATGTGACATCAAATCATCAAAACATCGTTTCTGTCCGTTAACAGTGTCGTACATTTTGTTAACAATTTGTGGATCAGCTTTGATAATCAGATACATGCGCAACAATGGTGTGGCCAAATTGTTTTCATCGATCAGTTTCTGGTAGTGATTCTTGAATATCTGGCACTCATACCGATGTCCGGCCCGCCAGTCGTTGCGCTGACAGTTTCGATGGCAATAATACATGTGTTTACATTCCGAGCATTTTTTCAGACCATCACTTTTGGTCAAACAGTGGTCACATACCTGTCCTTTATATTGATTGTAAATAATGTGTACAAACGGTGGACACTCTAACACCACTTCATTAGGTTTGTAGTCTTTTTGTGCTTTAATCATATTTTCAATATTATCTAATAATCTAAAAAATTTATACGTTTTTATTATGTTTTAAAATTAGATTAATAGACATTCATTTTTGTTTAACTTATTAATTTAATCTAATAAATTTCCACATCATCATTTAACTGCATATTATAATTTATATTTTTTTTATTTATAAATATTTATGATAATAACTTAGTTATTTTTTTGTATTGTTAAAGGAATGTAAATATGAAAAAAATTATTTCAACTGTTATCACTTATTTTTTAAGATATTATTTTATGAATTATTATAAGTATTATTTTTTGATAAATATTTTTTTTATGAATTTAATTATTTATAATATGATTATTTTTATTTTGTTAAAATAAATAGATATAAATTTATTATTGATTTTATTCTTAAATTTTAAATCTAATAACGCTTATGTGTCTTTAATTTTTTTTATAAAAATAAATTATCAAATGATATAATATAGGCTAATATGGTTTTGTTATGTTTGTCATATTTATCATAGCATCGGTCAACTACTACTGTAATGACCAGTCGTATAGATTGTTATTCAATTATAATTCAAAACATTTATAATTAAGTCTAAAATTTAGTTTAATTAGATTACATTAGATAAATATATTGTACTGTATTTTCTAATTAATTATTTACGATTTTTATTTAGATAAGTTATAGAATATTTGTCTTAAATTATTTCATATTAATTTTTAAAAAATCTTATACTAAAAACATTTTGTTTTATTATTTTTAATATATTTATTATATTTTATTTACAAAACTTTATTATAATTAATAATAAAATTTAAAATAAATATTTAACACTATAATATTAAATTATTAATGATTTTTGTATTATGATTAAGTGAATATTTGAATATTAACATTAATGATTAAAAATTAGTATAAATCAAAACGATAATTTAAAAATTATTTATTTATTTTTTTTTTAAAACATTGACAATTCAATACAAATTAAGATCAAAATTTAATACAAAATTCAATAACAGTTTAATAGCATTTTAAATATTGTTTTTTAAAATAAAAAACATAAATATATATTACGGTAATTCAATTTAAATAAATATCATGTGATAATATTACATTAAACTAAATTAATTGTTTAATTAAATGATATGTTAAATCAACATTTATGTCATCCCTATCACTGTCATCAACAATGCCATCAACACATCTACGACAGTGACAATCAAAAAAGTAATTAACTTTCAATATCTCTCTTCGCCTATCAGTTGTCCACAAAGGGTTAGCATAATTGAAGGTCAACTCATCGCCGGCGGTAATATTTTGGTTGGCTATAATTTGTAGTCTATTGCCCGCACACTGGCCGAAGACATTGGCCACACACGAGTGATCCAAAACCGATGCGCCGATGAATATACCGCCGCCGCATAATTGGCGAAATACTGGACCAGTACTGAAATTTACACCAAATGAATTGATAGTGTATTTACCAAACAAATTGACCAAATCATCGACAGGTAGTTCCACACCACAAGAACTGATTCTTTTGTGGATATCTAGTATGAGATGAACTTTAAGTTTGTTTTCCAGTATCTCTTCGCGATGTGTCATTAAATCGGCAAAACATCGCTGCTTTCCGTCAACAGTGTCGTACATTTTGTAAACAATTTGTGGATCAGCTTTAATAATGAGATACAATCTGAGCAATAGTGTGGCCAAATCGTCTTCATCGACCAGTTTCTGGTAGTGATTCTTGAATATCTGGCACTCATACCGATGTCCGGCCCGCCAGTCGTTGCGCTGACAGTTTCGGTTGCAGTAATACATGTGTCCACAGACCGAACATTTTTTCAACCAATCATTTTTGGTCAAACAGTGGTCACATATCTGTCCTTTATATTTATCGCTAATATTGTGGACAAATGGTGGACATTTGAACACCACTTCTAACTGATTGTAATCTTTCAGAGCTTTAATTATATTATCAATTAAATCTAATAAACCTTAAAATTAGTTAATATTACAATTAACACAAAGACATAAATTAAAATTTTAGTAAAACTTTTATTAATTTATATAAGTTTGATAACCAAAGTTTAATTTGAATATTTAGTCTATTTTTATATAACTGTTTTATAACTTATAAATTATAACCCATTACCCAATGATTTTACTATTGATAGTCTAGTCTCTGTACGGCTTATAAAACGGATGTTTATCTATTAACTAGAGGTTTGAATCGGCAGATCAATCAAAAATTTTAAAATATACTTTAAAGTTATGTCGCTATTAACCTAAAAAAATTAATATCATAATTTATGATTCATAAGTTATGATTAGAGTTAGGTATCTTCGGGAATTCCCGAAACATTATTATTTATTAAATCGTCGGGAATTTAATATTTATAGAAATATGGCAACATTTTAAATCAAATAAACGTCTATTATTTTTCCTGATTTCCCCGATTTTTGGTGTTTTTTGAGAAAATTCCGAAAAAGACCGAAAAACAGTATTTAAGTGTGTTTTTCCCGATATTCGCTAGATATTGATAGTCATATACATATTGAATACGATATTAGCGGCACATCTAATAAAATATTAACTCAATATCAATGAATGGATATGTATAAGAAAAACACACTTTAAATAATATTTTGCTATAAAAATTGTAGTTTTGTATGTATTGTAAACATATAAATTTATACTGTAATACTGTACTTAATTAATGTATATTTTACAATGGGTAAAACAAAGTGTTGTTTATAAACTAAAACTAAATGCATTTTTATAATTTATTTAAAAACTGAAAATAAATTATTTTTAACAAATATAACCGATTTTATGACATATAAACTATTTATTATTAGTACTATAAGAAAAAAACAAAATTTAATTTCCCGATTTTGTCATTTTTTACTCCCGATTTCCCGACCGATTTTGGTTATTTAAACTCACGAAGATGCATAACTCTAGTTATGATTCATAAGATTGATATACAATAATTATATATAAATAGGTTAATTAATTTTAATATAATACAAATTATAATTATTTGAATTTTTTTTAATGATTAATAGGAAAAATCTAATACATAATATATTTATATATTAAAATCGGTTGAAATTAAATTACTTAATTTATTACAAATATATTTTAGATTAAAATTTTTGTAATCATTACTATTATTATTATTGGCATCACATTTACAACAATGACAATCAAAATAGTAACCACTTTTCAATAGCATTCTTCTGGTTAGAGTTGGCAGCAAAGGATTTACATAAAAAGTGGTCAATTCGTCGCCGACAGCAATGGTATGATTGGCTTTCATCTGCAAATTGTTACCAATAGTGTCGACATAGATACTGTAGTCACACGAGTGGTCCAAAGCCGACGCACCAATGAATAATCCGGAGCCACATTTATAGCGCGATTGGCGGACATCCTTATAGTTGTTGGACATCATCTCAAATGAATTGATTTTATATTTACCAAAAAAATCGACCAAATCATCGATAGGTAGTTCCACACCACAGGAACTGATCTTTTTGTGTATGTCTTGTATAACACTTACTTTAAACCAATCTCGCGATATTTCTTCGCGATGTGACATCAAATCAGCAAAACATCGCTGCTGTCCCCCAAAAGTATTGTACTTTTTGTATACAATTTGTGGATCAGCTTTGATGATGAGATACAATCGCAACATTAGTATAGCCAACTGTTGTTCATCAATTAGCTTCTGGTAGTGACTCTTAAATATCTGGCACTCATACCGATGTCCGGCCCTCCAGTCGTTGCGCTGACAGTTTCGGTCGCAATAATACATGTGTTCACAATCCGAACATTTCTTTAAATTATGATTTATGGCCAAACAGTGGTCACAAATCCGATCTTTAAATCGGTCATAAATATAGTGAACAAATGGTTTGCATTCAATAACCACATCATCCGGTTTGTAGTTTTTCTCTGCTTTAATCATTAGTTTCTAATACTGTATGATATAATGTAATAACAATATATATTTTAAAAATGCTAATTATTAGATAATGCTTAAAAATATACTTAAAAATAATATATATATATTTTTAAAAAATACTGTAATTATATTACAATTAATAATTACTTTAAAGGAAATTTGATTTTTTTAAAAAAAAAGTTGGTTAGTTTTTTTTGCATGAATTTCATAACCAATTAATCACTGATTGCACTATTCTATGATATACTTAAAAAAAAAGTTTAAATAAACAAATCAATTATAATAAGATGTCATTAATATAGATAATTGTCGCTATTATTCACACATTAAATATTCCTATTTGTTTGTTAAACTTTTTTTTTGGATAATGACTGACAAAAAATACTATTAATTGCAATTAAATGACAAATAAGGAAAATAAGGATTTTATTTTATTTTTTTATAAACTTAATTATTAATAATTTTAAAAAATGTGATAATAAATTGTATTTATTATATAATATTATCAACTGTTAAATAAACAGATAAACCAGTCATATACTACTTACTATACAACAAAAAATATGGTCAAATACTATCATACATTTGGTATAGTATTTCTATGAATATTTAAAAATTAATAATCAATAAAATTTAAAATTTATTTATTTATAAAAAAATAATTAAGTAAAAAATTATTTTTTATATAAATGAATTACAGTAAATGAAATATCTGTTAATATAACGGATACAAAATTTTCATATTATAATTATAAACATTCAGTAATTTACAATAAAATTAGATTAAAAATTATATTTTTATTGTTACAAAAAATTTATATAATTTTATTATTACAGAGTTTTTATATTTTAATAGTACGGTATAATAAAAATAATATAATAGCTTGAAATAAAAATATATTATATATATATATAAATTACAGGTAATATTATGTTATATTTAACGGTAGTAATGGTTTTGTTAACAAATCAACAGTTATGTCACTATCATTGTCATCAATGGCATCACATCTACAACAATGACAATCAAAATAGTATCCACTTTTCAATAGCATTCTTCTGGTAACAGTTGGCAGCGAAGGATTCACATAAAATGTGGTCAACTCGTCGCCGGCGGTAATATGTTGGCCAGCGATTACTTGCAGTTTATTGCCGGCAGATTGGATGTAGACATTGTAAGCACACGAATGGTCCAAAACGGACGCACCGATGAATAAACCGGCTCCACATGTATGGCTTGATTGGTCAATGATATCGGTATAGAAAATAAAATATGAATTTATGATAAATTTTCCAAACAAATCAACTAAATCATCGACAGTTAGATCCAAACCACAAGAACTGATCCTTTTGTGAATATCATATATAACACTGACTTTAAATCGGTCTCTCATTATGTCATCGCAATGTGACATCAAATCGGCGAAACATCGCTGCTGTTGTCCGCCAATAGTCTCATACTTTTTGTCGACAATTTGTGGATCAGCTTTAATGATGAGATACAGACGCAACAATGGTATGGCCAGATTGTCTTCATCCAATAGCTTCTTGTAGTGACTCTTAAATATCTGGCACTCATACCGATGACCGGCCCTCCAGTCTCTGCGCTGACAGTTTTCATTGCAATAATACATGTGTTTACAACCCGAACATTGTTTCAAGTCATCACTTTTGGCCAAACAGTGGTCACAAATCTGATCTTTAGATCGATGGTAAATGTGGTGAACAAATGGTTGGCATTCAAACAACACATTATCCGGTTTGTAGTCATTGTCGGCTATAATCATATTTTCTATACAGTATTACTGATGTATGAATGGATCAAATATTTTTACATTAAAAAACTATATATAGTATATATATAATCACTAATAAACAAAACAAACAAAAAATAATTGAAAATAATTTACTTAAAATTTTTGATTACATATTAATCATCAGTTTTATAATCAATTAGCCACTGATCAGTATATTGATAGGACAGTGTGTGTGTGTCTGTACTGTCGATGAATTGATTTACAGTATTTATATAACTTATACTGAGATTTAAATCGTCGGATCAAACAAAATATAAAAAACACATTTTCTTAATAAATATAAAACTATTTACCAATAATTTTGTTATAATATTAATAATATTATTTGAAAAAAAATTATGAGTCATATTGACTCATAAGACTACTACTAATAAATTATTATTAATAATAATACTATCATAATATTTAAAGTCATTAATATAATATAGTTATTGACATTAACTGTATTTGCAATTATATTCTAATATAAAAACTAATAAAAATTAAATAACACTAAACATTATTAGCTTTATTTAGTAGTATTATAAACTATAAATTTTTATTAACATAAAATTTAACAACAACTTAAACAGTATTTAGGCTTCTATTGATGAAAAATAAATAATTTTTTGAATATCATGTATAATAATAACAATCTTATAGTTTCTTATTACACTAATATATAAATTTCTAATATATTATAAATATAAAATTAAAACTTTAAAATTGAATCTTTTTTGAAATAATTTATAGTAAAAAAGTTTTTATTTGTTTTACCATTTAATTTTTTTTATTAGTAAATTATTTATACAATACTTTAGATTTAATTTTTACATTTCTTATATAAATTAAAATAAGTAAAATATTTTTTTAGCATATATATTCATAACACTGATTATAAATTAAAATAAATATACAATTAATATAACTTTAATAATAAAAATATAGTTGTTTTTTGTTGTTGTAATACAGTATAAAACGAATAATAAATAATATATTGTAATATTTATAAATTTAATTTACCGATCATTAATTTTTTCATTAAAAAATATGTAATTAAGTTACCATCTCTGTCATCATTATGTTATGATTATATTTTTTAATTCAAACTTTTAATTTGTTTTTATTATTAATACAAAGTTTGCTGTAGATGTTATACAAAATATTAAATTAATAGTAATACTTATTACAAATTATATTTTTTTTGTAGATATAAAATAAATCAATTTAAACATGTTATTAAATATATTAAATTTTTTTTATTTTTATTTTTTAATTTATAAGATATATATATATATTCTTTTTAAAATAATATTATAAAATAAATTTTATGGTTATTTTAAGATAAACAATGTCTTAAAATTAATTATTAATAATATACTAAACTATGTACAAACTTTAACAATTATAATTGATTTAAAAAAAATTAAACATATTTTGATCATTTTGAGCACATATTTTATTAAATATTTTTGAAATATCGACCAAATATTTTGCTGTCTGTAATAATTACAATAAATTAGACTATAAATTTAAATTACATAAACATTTTTAAAGATCTATATTATTATTAATTATATCTTTCATTAACTTTTATTATTATCAGAGACTTTGGCACTATTTTTGAAAATACGATTGAATTTAATTATAAATATCATTAAAGTTATCAATTTATATAAAACGGCTAAAAGTATTAAATGAAAAATATTGGGCCAAAAGTCACTGTCTGTGATATCCATTGCATACAAAACAGTATTGATATCATTGTCTGAACACCGGCCGAACCCGTAGATGGCCAGTATTACCGACTCGTATGAGTACTTCAAATATGCAAAATTAGACAACAATTGCAGTGAATAGTGTAGATCCTGGAGCGGCACTATTGTGTTGCATAGTAGACACGCCATGAAAAACACGGTTATGGCAAAAGTTTGCGAAACTTTAGTATCTTTACGAAAAATAATTGCCGATATTTGAGCCCAACTCTGGGCTGATAGTGCCGAAAATACGGTCGTCAGGTAATAGACGGCAAACATTGAAGCTGTACCGTAGAGATTGATTAGCCAGCAAAACGGTAACAGATATACCATTATAGGTAGAGAATCGCATATCGATTTCGACCAAAAATAGGCACCCGAACTATACCAACCTATAGGTGGTGCACAAATAGTTTTTTTTAAATAAATAAATAATTAATTAAAAAAACTATAAGTAAATTGTTGTAAAATGTTTTTTTTATTAAATTTATACCGTTATAGTGTTCACTATTGAAGACAGTGATATCGGCGCAAAACGAGGCCGAAGTGACCACCAGTATAATCATTGTGAATGAATAGCCAATCATATTATTGTATTTAACATTACTAGTAATCAATGCCTCGTTCCTGATCTCACTGAGCGTTTTGTTACAGCCGTTAGTCATAGAGATGTCCATTTCTAGACAACCGTCCGGTTCAATCATCTGCCAATTGAATAGAGCTATTAAACTAACGCCAAATAATTGATAAAATATGGCTTCAATCAGGAATATCTGCCAATTGGCTATATATGTGTATAACATCGTGCGCTTCAATAAAATCAAAACGTCTTTAATATAAAAACGTTTTGATTTCAATTGATTTGTTTGAAATGGTTTCATATTTTCGGAAATGATCCGATCGTTTAATGATTTTTGTTGTAATTTTTGTTTCAAACATAACTTATCCATTGATTGATTGTCGGTGTCGTCCGATGCGATTCTCAGCAATAATTCAATCGGCACTTCATTGTCATCGCAATTAATATTTGTCTCAATTAGCGTTTGTTTTAATTGTTGAGGACTTCCCTCATAGATAGCTTGTCCTCCTTTGGCCAATACATAAATGTTGTCAAAAATATTATATAACTCGTTGTTTGGCTGATGAATGCTCGCTATAATAGTCATATGATGACAACGGACTAACGATTTGAGACATAAAATCACTTTTAGGGCTGAATTGCTGTCCAATCCAGAGGTCGGTTCATCGATGAACATGAGATTAGGTTTTTTACATGAAATTAATTCACTGGCTATTACTATACGTTTGCGTTCACCGCCACTACACTTATCGACATAATTGTCAAATATATCATTGATAAGCATTTCTGACATTAAATCCGATACTAGTTTTTGGTGATCTAATTGTCCGCCAATTTGTGAATTTTTCAATTTTGATGCATACAGTAGTGTCTGTTTGACGGTCAGTCCGCTCAATAGATGTTCACTAATATTTTGTTTAATAAAAGATATTTTGCTATTTAAAGCAAAACGTGAATATATAGCACTGTTGTTACTTAATTGATCCAAATATTTGGCATTCAAACACTTTAATAGTGTTGTCTTCCCGGCACCAGACGGTCCCATCAATGCCATCAACGATTGTCGTTCAATACTACCGCTAATATTATTCAAAATACTAATTGATTTATAAACTTTGCCAAATCGGCTTAACTGTATGTTTAGTGATAAATCAATCCATGCTATTACTAAACTATGATCAAAATTATTATTATTATTATTATTATTATTATTATTATTATTATTATTATTATTATTATTATTATTATTATTATTATTATTATTATTATTATTATTATTATTATTATTATTATTATTATTATTATTAGTAGTAGTAGTAGTAGTAGTTGTAGTTGTTGTTGTTGTTGTTGTAGTAGTAGTAGTAGTAGTATAACCATTAACAATATTGCATGTTTTAGTTAATTGATAATTATTACTATGGTAGTAAATTTGATAATTATGTAAATTATCCCGTTTTCCTTTAGCTAGCTTATTTAGCAAACAATTGATCAATTTACCAAGATAATTTGTTACTTTTAATTGAAATAAAATATAAATCATAATAATTAGTAGTACATAGTATTCGAAAAAATATTGTAGATATGTATAGAATATTCTGTTATCGTGAACACCATATTCCAGGAGTACATATGTAGTCGATTCGGACTCACAACGATTCCAACCGTATAAAACAATTAATGACATTATATACATATAGGACAGGTATGAAAATTTGCTACAGAACTGAATCATAGGATTCATATCGTGAAAGGGTACGGTATAATAGTCATAAAAGATTAATGTACTTAATGTTATCAGTAATGTTGTAAATAATAGATTTTTGTTATGATTTAATACAATGGCCAAACTGCTACAGAGTATCTGATTGCATAATAAAGTGATGGTGATTATACATAGAAACCAGGCGCACCGGTACCACTCGAGCATAGGATAATAGGCCAAACATATCACACATGTTTCAACTATGGCAAATAGTATAGTTATCAAACTATCGGTAAGTAATTTTGACCAAAAAAATACTCCACTGCTATACATATCTATATACGTGTATATAAAAAATCGATAGTAACTAATTAGTAAAAAAACATTTTTTATTTAAAAAAAATATGTTAACTGATAATATTATTAATTAATGATTAATATTATACATACTATTTTTATATTCAGTGTTAAATATGTTAAAATCGGTAGCAAAACTGTCAGTAATTATTGCTAAATGTATGACAAATGAGCCGATAAACGACGGGTGCAAATAGTCGACACTTTGGGCCAAAACTTTTTTATCGGTTTGCCAGTCAAGACATGTCTGATTGCCGATCGACTCGAGACAACCGATTACTTGACCAATACGTCGACTGAATGGCAACGCAAACAACATATTAAACAAAAATAATACCAACAATTGTCTCATAAGTTTCATTCGTTGTTTGAAAAACATTATATTTAATGATCGATGAAATATATGCCAAAAGTCCAGAAAACTAAATGATTTTTGTATCGATTGAATACCAGTTGGTGTTTGTTTCATATGTTTCAAATACTTATCACATTTGTTAGCATTTATTTGTCTTATTTTTTCCGATAACTTCATAGCATTTGGTGAATGTATGCCTTGAGATGAGATTTTAAGCATCACTTCAATGACAACTTTATTTTCATTGAAATATATCTGACAATCAATCATAAAGTGTTTCATTTGTTGAGGACTTCCCTCATATATATTGTCACCTCCTTTGGCCAACACATAAATATTGTCAAACATTTGAATCAAATCATTGTTTGGCTGATGAATACTTATAATGACTGCAATGTTATGTGTTTTGACAAAACTTTTCAAACATTTCAATAACTAAAACAAAGTTATTATAAAAATTAGAAAAAATGCTTTTATTGTAAAATCTATGGTTAAGTCATTACCTCAAGAGCTGCAGTAGAGTCGAGACCAGTTGTGGGCTCATCCATAAAAAGTAGGTTTGGTTTTTCAATTGATGTCAACTGTAATGCAATGGCTATACGTTTGCGTTGACCTCCACTACATTTGCCGATTGGCGTGTTTTTAATATTATTAATTAACAATTGTTTCATCAGTTGTGTAATATTTTGGTCATGTTTGACACTTTTATGGCAACTATTATTAACCTTTGATGAATAACTAAGCGCTTCTCCGACTGTTAATACATCAATAAGCCGATCGCTATCAACTTGAGTTAGGCATCTCTTAACTATTGGTTGACTTTTACTACAGTAAAGTCGATATTTATCATTGATTACATATTTATTACTTGAATTCAAACACTTAATGAGTGTTGTCTTTCCCGAACCCGACGCTCCCATCAGTCCAGTGATTGTCCCAAAATCAAAACTACCGCTTATGTGCCTTAATATCACTTTTGATGATCCGCGCCATTGATTAACCGATGCGGTTAAATCACGCCAAACTATTGCAGTATTATTATTATTATCACACATTACTGGATGTTTCATTAATCTTTCACAATAAATCTTTTACTGATAGTATTTTTAAAAAAAACTTTTTTTTTTTAATTTTGAAAAATCATTCAATTAAAATTATTATCAATTTTAGTTTAGCAGTACTTTATTTAAGTTAACATTAATTTTATTATGTTTTTAAAAGTTTCAGCGAAAAGTTTGGTACTGTTTGGTCAAAAATCCGTAACAATCATAGTATTGGATGAAATGTGTTACTAAGCGCAATAAGACGGCTAAAAAACAAGTTAAGGAGGAAATCATACGTTTGGCTTTTATCGTTACGTATCTATATTTATAATATTATTGTATTTCTCTATTTTTTAATCATTATTTAATTTATTAAATAACAAAAATAAAAATTTATTTCTGCAATAACATTGCTATTATATATTTAATCTACAGTAAAATATTCTAATAATTAGCTGATATTATATAAATTTATATATTTATATATATTTTTAAATTTTAAATCTTGTATTTAGTGTTAAAACATACATTTAGATCATACAGTAATTTAAACCTTGTTAATTTTTTTTTAATTATAGAAATCGCTATGTCACAATTGCGATTTTTGCAATCAGTACATCACTAGTTATTATTATTGTTATTACTATTTTATATCAAAATATTTTTAAAAAATAACTTTATGTAAATAAAATTCTATAAATACATTTTAATTATTAGTTTTAATAAACATATAAAGTATTATAACCTTGAATTTAAATATTATATCTTTAATTACATTAAATCTACACAAAATAAATACATAAATGTTTGAATATTAAAAATAGTTTTGCGAAACAACAGTCTAGACATAACTTTATTGCAAAAAATCTGCTTTTATTGTGAAATACTAGAACAGTATGTTATCTATTGAAAAACAAATATTAAAAAACAAATTTTTGAAACAAATATCAGTATATTATACAACAAAATGAGATATACTTTATGTTTGAGTATTGGTTCTAAAAAAGTCCTTAATTTTCATTTTAGTTAACAACAAAAAACTCGAAGAAATTGTATATTTTTAAAAATTTATAAAAAATTAATATTAGAATTATACAAAAATTTCAAGTTTAATAATAAAATACAAAATTTTAAAAATAATAAATTATTTTAACCTAATTAGTGTTTAAATTACAACTTTAATAAAATAAATATTTTTTTAAAAAATACATAACATTAATGAATAGTAAAATTTCTATTTTTCTATTCATCAATGTTATCAGGGTTGCGCAAGTTTGTTTTTAGTCGATAGGTGGGGGGACTTACTGGAGTATCTGGGGGTAAAATCTTGATCTCTGTGTGGTAAATCGGCTTTACCGTACCCCTACCCCTAATCTGAATGTTGTGTATAAATTAATTATTAGTAATAATTTATTACTATTGAAAACTACATTAAAAACTATTTTATGTTATTAGTAATGTTTAAAATAAAAGTGTTTAGACATCTAAAGTTTGACATATAAATTATACATATAATACAGTAATATTAATACTGTATGTATTGAAAATTAAAGCATTAGTTTGATATTTGATTAGTGTTATTAGTTTTAATCCCTAAATATTCAATAATTATTGATTATATACTAGTAGTTTAATACTACAATATAAAAGTATACAAAACTTTAAATATATATATTGACTCAAATATTTGATTAAAACAATGGCTATTAAAAACACAATATTTAGCTTAGTTTTAGTAGTTAATGATTAAAAGTGTGTCAAATAAAACATAAACAAATTATAAGTTTATTTTATAAAAACAAGTATTTATACAAAACACAAAAAAAGATGGACAGCCGTAGAGATAGTTGGGACCGATTTGGTGATGACTTAAGCGAACTATTACTCAGTTATCTGCCATTTGATGATCGCTTTCGCTTGGAGTGTGTGTCCAGACAATGGCAACGATTGATATTTATGAATAACATCTTCATTGATGATTGCAGAATATATTTGAAAAATTATGCGAAAATTGTGAAAAAGTTAGATAACAGACCATTTGAACAGCCATTAATCGGTGATACCACCAAAATATTCAACTATTGGCTAAAATATCACTTAAATATTCGTTCAATATTTGCGACATCGACTTCAAACTGTTATACAGTTAGTCAAGTGTTGAAAAAATATGCCAAACAATTGGATTTAATTAGACTAACAAAAGTGGATCAATCGGTTTGTGAAGAGCTCAGGAAGTGTTGCAATGTATCGCGGATTGTCTTTTATACCGTAATTATGACACCAATTGACATCCTATCGGTACTCTTCAAAGATGACGATAACAATGAAGTATTATTTCCAAAATTACGAAAACTGAAAGTTTGGACCACTTTGGCTACAAAATTGAAAAGTTTTCAAAAGTTTACCAAAATTTATGGCAACAATTTGACAGCTATTGATATTAAGAATAATAGTTATCTATTAGTTGATACAAAACTCATGCATTTGGTCGCACAGATGACACAATTAATACACTTTAGTTATGTTCAGAAAACTACTATAACAACAATTATCGCCGATTTATCAAAAATTGGTGCCAATTGTCCACTAATTAAACGTCTTGAACTTGAATTATGGTTTCCATCGGATCTGGAGTTCAACGAAACACTGGAAACTGTTGGCAAAAGTTTTCAACAATTAAAAAGTCTATCATTTAATGGATATATCATTAAAATGTTGAACAACTTTGAAATATCTAACGATTCATTAAGTAATTTATCAAAACTAACTTATCTAACATTGAAATCCAATTATAACTGGTATTTGAGTCCCGATTTTTTAGGAAATCCTATGAAATTCATACCAAATGTTCACTATTTATACTTTCAATACATTCAACTGAGCGACCAGTTGTTTGACTGTTTGGAAAAAGTTAGATATTTACGTATTTTAGAGATATTTTTATTTGATAATCAGGATTTAAAATTACCCAAAAATTGTATCAAAAAATTAATTAATAATTGTCCAAAAATTTTGGATATTTATATAAATGATGTAGTTTATCTATAATAGTTTAATTTCTCATATTTTTTAATTAATTGATCAATATCTTAGCTATATTATCATTTTATACAATTGATTAACTTGTTTGTTAAATAATTTATAATAAATTATTTTATAAAGTATCAAATTTTAAGATATATATAATAATGTAAATTATTGATAAGTTGTAACTTTTGGCCAAACAGTGGTCACACATATTATGTTTAAATCGGTTGTAAATGTGGTGAACAAATGATTGACATTCAATCACCATATCATCCGGTTTGTAGTTTTTTTTCAGTTTTGATCATATTTTTATTGCTGTAAAGATATAATAACTGTATAAATACTGTATATAAGTATTAAATAAATAAATAAATAATTTAAAATAATTTACTTTAAAAAAGTTTTAAAAAGTTTTTTTTTATTAATTGTTTGTGTATTTTTTGTTAGATATTAATAGTGTCTTGATTTTCAACTAAAAAAATTATTTTGTCGGTTCAACGCTTATAACTGGGACTTAGTATGTCCACCGAAGTTGACCAGTGGACGCTATTTCGGAAATTTTATTATAACTATAAATAACTATTTGTTGGGTTAGCAACTATAAAAACTTATAAATAATTATTTCATTGATTTTGAAAAATATAAGCATTAAATTGTAAAATTAAGTAAAAATATATGTAAAAACAAAAAGTAATAATTATATAAATTATATAAAATGTTTAAGCTGTTATCAACTCATATTACTTTTTTAACAATAGAAATAATTAGTTTATTTATATAAATCATTTTTGTAAATATGCTGCAAACAAATGAATATATATCAGTTGAAATATTTATAAAAAAATAAATAACTATTTCAATAACTATTTGGCTTTTTTAGCAACTATATACAACTATTTAATACAGTTTAAATAACTATTTTAAAAACTATTTGACTTTTTTAAGCAACTATTATAACAACTATTTAATAGAGTATAAAAAATTATTAATCAATACACTAGATATTAATCATCAGTTTGATAATCAATTAACCACTGATAAGTCATTATTGATAGGACAGTGTGTCTGTACTGTTGATAAAATGGTTGTTTCTAATCAAATACGAGGATTAAAAGCAAAATATATTTATAAATTAATTAATTGACAATAATATTATTGAAACAAAATGACTTATATGATTCATATTTTTAAGACATAATACAAAATAAAACTGTATTAACTATTTGGTGCTACAAAAGGCTAAAATAAATATAATGTTATGAGTTTTATGACAATTAGTTATTGAAAAGTTTGTATTTGTTAATATCATATATTTATTTGAAAAAACTTTTCATTTGATTATTAGTAAAATATTTGTTAACAAATATAAAATGCATTGTAAAGATAAAAATTTTATATTAATTGATTGAAATAAACAATTTTCAATGATTAAATTAATTTAAAATCCTATATTCAATAAAAAAAATTATAATTATGATCACAAAATAATAATAATAATAATTTACTGTTAACTGTAATTAATTTTATGAATTAAAAACTAGTTCATAATATCATCAAAATTATTATGAATGTCATCACATCTACGACAGTGACAATCAAAATAGTATACACTTTTCAATAGCATTCTTCTGGTAACAGTTGGCAAAGAAATATTCACATAAAAAGTGGTCAACTCGTCGCCGGCGGTAATATTTTGGTCGGCTATTAACTGTAGTCTATTGCCATCGGATTTGACGTAGACATTGGGCGCACACGAGTGGTCCAAAACGGACGCACCGATAAACAATCCGCTGCCGCATACATGGCGTGATTGGCGAACATTGTTGGTGACCATATCGTATGAATTGATAGTGTATTTACCAAACAAATTGACCAAATCATCGACAGGTAGTTCCACACCACACAAACTGATCCTATTGTGTATGTCTTGGATAACACTAACTTTAAAACTGTGTCGCAATATGTCTTCGCGATGTGACATCAAATCGGCGAAACATCGCTGTTGTTGTCCGCCAACAGTGTCGTACTTTTTGTAAACAATTAGCGGATCAGCTTTGATGTTAAGATACATTCTAAGCAATAGTTTTGCTAAATTGTGTTCATCGACCAGTTTCTGGTAGTGATTCTTGAATATCTGGCACTCATACCGATGTCCGAACTGCCAGTCATTGCGCTGACAGTTTCGGTCGCAATAATACATATGTTTACATATCGAACATCTCTTCAAACCATCACTTTTGGCCAAACAGTGGTCACATACCTGTCCTTTGTATTGGTTGTAAATGTTATGAACAAATGATTGGCATTCAAACAATACTTCATTAATTTTATAATCTTTTATTGCTTTAATCATAATTGCATTAAATGTATGCTAAATATATATATACAGTATATACTGTATATAACTTATTAAAACAGTAGATATAATGCCAATAGTATAATTTTAAAATTATATAAAATTCAAATGTTAAATTATATAATGTTATTGGAAAAGTTTATTTTTTATATAATAAAAATTTATATATCATAGCATCAATCAGTTTGATAATCAATTAATCATTGATAGTATAAAACTATTGATCAGACAGTCTATAAATATATATATATATATATATATAACTTATAAAAGGAATGTTTGTCTATTAAATAGAGGTTTGAATCGTCGGATCAATTTAAATGAAAAAAACTTTATTACAGATATTTTTTGATTTTTTTATAATAAGTTGTCATTATTATCGCTATCTTTATTATAATATATATATATTGCAAAATAAAAAAGTATTTAAATGTAAATTACAATTAACTAATTGTTTTAACAGTTCTGTACTAAGATCTCTATTAAAATTAACAACATTTTATAGATTTGTTGTAAAATTTCATTTGAAGTTTAAAATTATAAATTATTTATTATAATATCTAAAAATAAAATATGAAAAATTACTAATTTGTGACGCAAATAATTGAAATTAACATAACTGTTATAAAATTTTTTTTTAAAAAAAAAAGTTTATTGATTAGCTAACCTTTTAAATTTTGAACTATTATTTGCTTTTATTACTAATTTAATTTAATTGGGATTAAAGTTTATGTAATATTAGAGCAAACAAAAATTGCATAACATTAATGGAGAGTACAAAAATTTTATAATAATAATTTATAGTGTATTATTCAAAAATTATTAGTTTAAAAAACTTTTTTTTTTGATAAAGATATTTATTATAATACTTTGAAATACAATTTTAATGATTTATATGAAACATTTCAATTAATCAATACAAATTAAATCCAATATGTATTTTCAGTATTTATTTACCAAAATTGTATTAATTATAGTAATAATGTAATAATAATTAAATGATTATATTGTATATTTAAGGAAAAACATTTTTATTAATTATTTATTTTTTTAAATTGTATAAATGACATAATTTAAAAATAATAGTAACTATAGCTTAAATCCAATATTTATTACAAATTATTGTAATTTAATTTTTTTTTTGATAACATATATATTATCAAATATCATATATCATATATATATATATTATGTATTATAAATATTCTATTACTATATTTCTAAACTTTATATTAATTATTAGCAAAAATAGTTAATTTTATACATAAATATTATCTTTTAGTTAATTGTTTTATAAAATAATCACTTAATTCACTATTAATGTCATCATCTCCTTCAGTGTCATCAATACATCGACGACATTGACAATCAAAATAGAAATTCTTTTTCAATTTCATTCTTCTGGTGACAGTTGGCAGAGAAGTATTTGTATAAAAAGTGGTCAACTCTTCGCCAGCGGTTATAAATCGTTTAGATATTACAAAACGTTTGTTTCCAATAGATTCAAAAACGACATTATAATCACACGAGTGGTTCAAAACGGATGCACCGATGTATATACTGCTACCACAAAACTGATCCGATTGGTCGTCAAAACGCTTTTCAAATGAATTGATAACATATTTTCCATACAAATCGATTAAGTCATTGATAGGTAGTTCCACATCACAGGATCTGATAGTATTGTGTATCCCTTGAATGTAAGAATATCGACGACTGTCGCGGACAATGTCTTCGTGATGTGACATCAAATCGTTGAAACATCGCTGTTGTCCGCCAACAGTGTCGTACTTTTTGTTTAAAATTTGTGGATCAGCTTTGCTTATGAGATACAATCTAAGCAATGTTGGGGTCAATTCGTGTTCAGCGATTAGCTTCTTGTAGTGACTCTTCAATATCTGGCACTCATACCGATGTCCGGCCCTCCAGTCGTTGCGCTGACAGTTTCGGTCGCAATAATACATGTGTCCACAAACCGAACATTTCTTCAGATCATCCTTTTTAGCCAAACATTTATCACATAACTGTCCTTTATATTCATCCATAATATTGTTGATAAATGGTTTGCATTCAAACACCACTTCCAGAGGTTTGTAGTCTTTCTGTGCTTTTATCATATTTTCAAATACTGTGTAATAATATAAATATTATTTTTTTTAAAAAAGTGAAATAATACATAAAAAAATAATAGACTAAAAAAATATAACCAAAAATAAATAATAATATAATAAATTTAAAAAGTTTTTTAATTGACAACAAATTATTTTTTTAATGTGTTATTCAAATATTAATTTGTTTGATAAACAATTAACACAACACTTAACAGTTAACCATAACATTGAAGGTAAACAACAACAGTATATTGTATGCACAATATAAAAACATATATTAACCATAGATTTAATATAATATATACACATAACTTAATTTAAAGCATATAATAGTTATGTTGCACTATAAGCCCCACCTCCATAGCATTACACATTAAAGCATTGCTTGCATGAGTAAACTATAGCATTGTGATATTGAAAACATTGTAAGTCAAATTTTATATTCAAATTTATATAATAGTTGAATACTTGTACTAAAATATTATTGTTAGGACTGGTATTGTCTGTACTGTTGAGGAAAGGAAAGGGATGTTTATATTTGAATAGATATCTAAATCATGGGATCAATCAAAATGAAAATAAAAAAAAGTATTTAAATAAAATTAACATATAGTTAGTGATATTTTCATACTAATAAATAGCTACTGTATTATCATAACATAACCAGTTGAGAATGCTAGAAAGCATTTCCACACGAATTCCTAATCATAATTAAAAATTAAATTCAGTATGATAAAATAAAATCAACTAAAGTTATGTAGGGTATCAAACGATTTAGTATGACAAAATAAACAACTATAGTCATGTGGGGTATCAAATGATTCAGTATTACAAAATAAACTACTATTTTCCTAAAAAATAAACTTAAAAACGAAAAAAAATAAAAAAATCAATATTCAAAAAAATTCAAAAAAAAAATTCAAAAAAAATTCAAAATTTTTTTAATTAATTTTTGGACACCATTTTCTTCAATTTCCTAAAAAATAAAACTTAAAAACGAAAAAAACAAAAAATCAATATTAAAAAAAAATAAAAAAAAAATAAAAAAAAAATTCAAAAAAAATTCAAAATTTTTTTAATTAATTTTTGGACACAATTTTCTTCAATTTCCTAAAAAATAAACTTAAATAAGAAAAAAAACAAAAAAAAATCAAAAAAAATTTGTAGCGGATAGTGGATTCGAACCTATGTCCTCGTGGGACAGACAGACCGACAGACCGACAGACCGACTTATAGAATGCATATACGTATTCCTTTCAGGAATTCGTGAAAATGTGTTGTATATGTAACTGTTGTTTGCAAAATAAAATTATAAATAATATGAGTTTTGTTTTTACCGTTATATACTAAAAATACACTATATTTGTTGTAATATGAATATCATATTGAATACGATCTGTAATATTATTATTTCAACTAATTTTAAATAAATTTTCTACAATAATTATTTAATAATTAATGATTTTTATTAAATTATATTTTAAAAAATTGTTATTAAAAAAATGATTAACAAGTTTAAAAATTATAAGAAAAACAAATTATTAAATTTCTAGAAATTAAATCCAATTTCGACGACTAATAAATTATTTTGCTTTATAATTGAACATAAATTTAAATAATTAAATTATTTTCTAAATAAGATTTTAATCAACTTTTTTAATTGATATTACGGTAATAATGAAATAAAATGATAAATATTTTGTTATACAATTTTATATAATAATCTTATATTTGAAACATTTATAAGTTATTATAAATTAAATCTAAAATTTATCGTAAATTATATTTATAATAATAATAATAGAATTTTTATGAGAAGTAAATTGAATTTAATTAAAAGTAATTAATTGTTTAATTAAGAAAAATGTAATTATTTCACCAAAACTGTGTGTATCATCACATCTACAACATTAATGACTATTTAAATGTCTCCTTTTGTAATAAAAAACCATTTGGTATTAAACGGATTCACATAATAAGTGGTCAACACTTCGCCGTCTCGTATTAAATATCTGGCCGTTACTTGCAGTCGATTGCCGACGAAAGTGTCGACAGAGACATTGTAGGCACACGAGTGATGCAAAGCGGTCGCACCGATGAACAAACCGGTACCGCATTTTTCGGGGGCCGTCGATTGGTTCATACCATTAGTATAGGTCAGCTCATAGTAATTGACAATAAATTTGCCGAACAAATGACGAAAATAATCTTTAGATACTTTTATACCACAGGATTTCATGGCATCGCTTATGAGTGTCATAACACCCATCTTAAGCCAGTCTTTGCTAATCTCATGGCAATGTGACTGCAAATCGTTGAAACATAGCTGATGTCCGTCAACGGTATTATACTTTTTGTTAACAATATGTGGATCAGCTTTAATGATGAGATATAGACGCGTCAATGGTATGGCCAGATTGTCTTCATCCAATAGCTTCTGGTAGTGATTCTTGAATATCTGGCACTCATACCGATGTCCTGACCGCCAGTCATTGAGCTGACAGTTTCGGTTGCAATAATACATGTGTCCACAGTTCGCGCATTTCTTCAACCGATCACTTTTGGCCAAACAATGGTCACACACTTGTCCTTTGAATCGGTCGTAAATGTGGTGAACAAATGGTTGGCATTCAAACACCACATCTTCCGTCAGATAGTCTTTGTCTGCTTTCAACATATTATTTGTTTGTTTCCAATACTACTGTATATTAAATGATAAATAAAATATAATTAATTAATTAATTAATTAAAAAGTTAATTATAATTAAAAACATTTATTTGTTATTGAAATACGACTTAAAGTTTAATAGAAAAAAAACAAAAGTTTTGTATAAATATTTTTTTTTGTGTTTATTACTCACCAATAAATTGTTTGTTTAAAACCAATTAATTAAAACAATTACAAGATATAGGACAGGTAGCTGAGGAAAGGTATGTTTAAAAATTAATTATTATTTTGTTGATGGTTTGAAATATCAATCAATCGTCAAAACAAACCAAACAAACAATAAATAAAATTATTTAACAATTTGTGGCAAAATTTGTGATCAAATCTTATAAGTAGTAAACTATTGACTCATTTCATATGTTTGTCTCATTAGTTCAATAGTTATATATAGCATAACAATAAAACTTTTGTTTGTAAAACTATTTTGGCGCTAAAATAACTGTACATTTAATAATAATAATAATTATTATAATATTATTATTAGCATTAATAATGTTATAACAAATATTGATTTGTATTAAAAACTTTTGTTATCAATTATTTGTTAATGCAATGCATGTATTATTTTATTTATAGACAACAATATTTTATAGTAAATTAATTATTAATTTATTTTTTAAAAAAAATAATACAATACTTTTTTTGTAATTTTTAATAATATGTAAATAAGAAATAGTTTTTATTTATTTATTTATTGTTAAATCATAATATAAAGTATTCAAAAGTCGTTACAATAATAAATTCAATTTAATTTAAACATTGATTATTTAAAAAAATATAATATTATGAAAAACATTTTTAAACAAAACATTATACAACTTTTGTTATTTTTGATAACATTTATTATTATAATAATAAAACAATTGATAGTATTTTATAAAATTATTATTATTATTATGAATTCAAATTACATTTTATATAATAATCATATTTTACATTAAAAGTTGTTTGATTAGCATATTTTTGGCCATCAAATCAGCAAATTTGATTATATCATCGCTATCATCATCATTGCCATCACATCTACGACAGTGACAATCAAAATAATATCTACTTTTCAATTGCATTCTTCTGGTAACAGTTGGTAGCAAACAATTTACATAACAAGTGGTCAACTCGTCGCCGGCGGCGATGGCATGACTTGCTTTTATCTGTAGTCTATTGCCCACTGAGTGGACGTAGACATTGTTAGCACACGAGTGGTCCAAAATGGATGCACCGATGAATAATCCGGCGCCACATGTATGGCGAGATTGGCGGACATTATCGACGGCCACTGTTTCGAAGTAATTGATCGCAAATTTACAGAACATATCGATTAAATCATTGAGAGGTAGTTCAACACCACATGAACTGATCCTAAAGTGTATATCTTTTATAGCAATAACTTTAAACAGTTCCTGCAATATGTCTTCGCGATGTGACATCAAATCGGCGAAACATCGCTGTTGTCCGCCAACAGTGTTGTACTTTTTGTATACAATTTGTGGATTAGTTTTTATTATGAGATACATTCGCAACATTGGTATAGCCATCTGTTGTTTATCAATTAGCTTCTGGTAGTGATTCTTGAATATCTGGCACTCATACCGATGTCCGGCCCTCCAGTCGTTGCGCTGACAGTTTCGGTCGCAGTAATACATGTGCTGACAATCCGCGCATTTCTTCAAACCATTACTTTTGGTCAAACAATCTTCACATATAAGACCTTTGCATTGATTGTAAATATAGTGAACAAATGGTTTGCATTCAATCAACACATCTTCCGGTTTGTAATCTTTCTCTGCTTTAATCATATTTTCAAATACTATATAATTTATAATAAATATAAATAACTATAAAAAAAATTTAATTAATAACCCATCAAATGAAATGAAATATACAAGAAATTAATTGTTACTGTATTTCAAATTTTTATACTTTAACTAATAATCAATTTAACTATACTAGAGTTAAATGTATGCTTTTTGATGAAATTGATGTTTTTAGCATAAATATTACATAATTTTATTTTAAAAAAATATAATAAATATAAAGATAACAAAAATTCAGATTAGTTATTGAGTTATTTTAAGTGAATTAATTGGTGCATATACTGTACAATTATACAGTAATCTGTAATTTTAATAAAAGTGCTTATTATTTAAAAAATAAAATAATCAATAAGATTTAAAATTGTGCAAAATTGTTGTAAAATTTTAAAACATATTATTAATATGATTTATGTTATCGTCTAATATTTTTAAATGTTTACTCTAATTAATCGTAAAATTAAATTACTTGACATATAAACGAGATATATATAACAAAATTATAATATAAAGATAAATAATTAAAATAAATATTCAAAAATAATTACATATTAAATCCAATACAGAGTATATGAAATAATGGTATAAAATTAAATTAAAATTACTTAATTTATTTTTAAAATAATTTGTTAAAATTTATGTCAAACTCACTATCTCTATCATTGCCATCACATCTACAACAATGACAATCAAAATAATATCCATCTTTTAATAGCTTTTTCTGGTAACAGTTGATAGCTTAGTATGAAATCTTTGGCTTTTATTTGTAATTTGTTGCCAAAAGTGTCGGCAAAGACATTGAAGGCACACGAGTGGTCCAAAACAGATGCACCGATGAATAATCCGGTGCCAACTGTAGGACGCAATTGGTTGATATCATTACAGTTATTGGAGAGCATCTCAAATGAATTGATTTTATATTTTTTAAACAAATCGACAAAATCATCGACAGGTAGTTCCACACTACAAGAACTGATCCTTTTATGGACGTCTTGTATCATATCAACAGCAATGGTATTTTGCAATATATCTTCGCGATGTGACATCAAATCATTGAAACATCGCTGCTGTTGTCCGCCAACAGTGTTGTACTTTTTTGTAAACAATTTGTGGATCAGCTTTGATAATCAGATATAATCTGAACAATATTCTTGCATATGCTTATGTAGTAATCAGCTTTTGGTTATCACTAGTGAATGAAAATATATTTAATTAAATAAATAAATTTTAATTAAATATTATATATATTTAAAATATAAATACATACAAAATATTTAATTAAATATTTAGCATTTTTCGTAAATATAATAAAATATTAATACATAAAACTGTAAATATATGCATATCAATAGTGCTGGTCATCAAAAATCATTGAAAAATTGAAGATCAAAACAAGTGTCAGTACAAGAATCACTACTAACACCAAAAAATGATTTCAATAGTGATTTGTGTAAACTGTTGGTGACATTGAATATACCGTTTCAAAAAATGATATTGAAAAATAAATATTTAAATAAATATTTTGGTATTTTTTAGCAAATATTTTATTGAATATTTTCAGTTTTTAAATAAATATTTTTTAATGCATTAGTTATCACTCTTAAATATCTGGCACTCATACCGATGTCCGGCCCTCCAGTCGTTGTGCTGACAGTTTCGGTCGCAATAATACATGTGTTTACACACCGATCATCTCTTCAAATCATCACTTTTGGTCAAACTGTGGTCACATATCTGTCCTTTATATTCATCGTTAATATTGTGGACAAATGGTTGGCATTCAAACATCTTGTGGTTTATAGTTTTTTTCTCTGCTTTAATCATATTATTCATTGCTGTAAAATATATGACAAAAAAAATTGAAAATATTAAACAGTAAAATACTGTATAAATTTAATAACCAATTAATTATTAATCAATGATTGTATGTACTATTGTTAGGACTGATGACGAAATGGATATTTAAAATCAATTAGCAATTGTGGTTGAAATAGACGTATCAATCAATCAATCGGCAAAACACACAAAAGGTTTACAAAAAAAATTATTATATTTTTTTGTGCAAAATTTTTGGTAAAATCTAATATAAAATTTAGATTATAAACTATTGACTTAAAATATGACTAATTAGTAATCAATAGATATATAGATAACAATTTGTTAAAATTGTAAACTATTTTGGCGCTGAAATAACTGTACACTTAATTACTATTATTATTATTAATATTATATTAATATTATTAGTTTATTAGCACTAAATAATGTTAATACAGTCTCATAGCATTCATTTCGACGAGTGATTCAATATTATCGACGAACGAGTGAATGAATTCGACGGTGAGATAAACAATTCGATGAATGCATTATTGAAATCGACGTATATTTTAAACAAGTATTTAGTAGAAATGTCTTACAATAATATACAAATAGTAGTTAAATTAATTAGAAATATTTTTTTTATTAAGACATGAAAAATAAACAGATAATGTATTTTTAGAAAAAAAATACAAAAACATTTGAGTTTAAAATGAAAACAATAAGATTTTTTGTGTACAGTTTGTGACATTCGATATATACGTCGATTTCAATAATGCATTCATCGAATTGTTTATCTCACCGTCGAATTCATTCACTCGTTCGTCGATATTATTGACTCACTCGTCGAAATGAATGCTATGAGACTGTAACAAATATTGTTTTGTATTAAAAACTTTTTCTTATATTATTTGTTGATGTAAAATACATATATAAATTTTCAATTTAATTTTTGACTAATTAGTAATTTATTGGTTAAACAAATAGTAGTTTAAATTTTTATAATTTTGTTTGCATTTCAATTAATTTATTAAAATTTACAAAACATTAATAAATAGTAAAATTTTCTAACAATAATTTTCAATAATTATTTATTAATAGTTTTTTCTAATAATATATTAATAATTAAAGCAAATAATTAAAGTATAATATTTTTAAAAAGTTTGTTTAATAATTATATGAAAAATTTATTAATCAATACAAATTAAATCCAATATGGATTTTCAGTATTTATAACCAAAATTGTATTAATATTAATACTGTAATAATAATTAAATGATTATTATTGTATATTTAAGAAAAACATTTTTATTAATTATTTTTTTTTAAAAATAGTATAAAGCAAATGAAATAATTTTAAAATAATAGTAATTATAGCTTAAATCCAATATTTATTACAAATTATTGAAATTTAATTTTTTTTGACTACCATAGTATAAGAATAATAAAAATGATTATTTATTTTGTTAAAACCAATTAATTTAATTTAATATATCATAGATTATTATATCGATATTTATGAATAAATCTTATCAAATCATTATCATTATCACTGTATTCATCACTAATAGTTTCACATCGACAACAGTGACAATCAAAATAGTATACACTATTCAATAGTAATCTTTTAAGACCAATCGGTAGCAATGGATTTATATAATAAGTGGTCAACTCGTCGCCGGCGGTAATTTTTTTGCCAACTTTTACCTGTAATCGGTTGCCAACAGAGTTGACGTAAACATTGAAATCACACGAATGGTTCAAAACAGACGCACCGATGAATAAACCGGCGCCACAGGTATGGCGGGTTAGGTTGACATCCTTATAGACCATTTCAAATGAATTGATGGTATATTTACCAAACAAATTGACCAAATTATTGAAAGGTATTTCCACACCACACGAACTGATCCTTTTATGAATGTCTTATAGAAGACTAGCTTTAAAGATGTCTCGTGATATCTCTTCTTGATGTGACATCAAATCGTTGAAACATCGCTGTTGTCCGCCAACAGTGTCGTACTTTTTGTTAGCAATTTGTGGATCAGCTTTGATAATCAGATACAATCGGAGCAATAGTTTTGAGATATTGTGTTCATCAATCAGTTTCTTGTAGTGATTCTTGAATATCTGGCACTCATACCGATGTCCTGACCTCCAATCTTTGCGCTGACAGTTTCGGTCGCAATAATACATGTGTCTACAGTCCACGCATTTCCTCAATCCATCACTTTTAGCCAAACAGTGGTCACATACCTGTCCTTTGCTTTGGTTGTAAATGTTATGAACAAATGGTTTGCATTCCAACACCACATCTTCCTCTTCATAATCTTTCTCTGCTTTAATAATCATATTTTTATTTCTGTAAATTATAAAAATAAAATTTTTGAATAAATACTTTAATATTTATACAGTAATATTATAATTTTATATAATTTAAATAAATTTGATGACAATTACAAAAAAAATTAATAATTACTGTCAAACTTTATCGAAGTTTTTATATTTGAAAAGTTTAAACAAAAAAAAACAGTTTAATAACCAATTAACCACTGATTGTACTATTTATATGACAGTCTCAATATATATAGTCTATAAACAGGATGTTTGTCTAACAACTAGAGGTTTGAATCGGCAGATCAATCAAAATAAAAATCCATTAAAAATAAAATTATTTTAATAGTAAATTGTCTGTATTTTGTGAATAATAATTAGATGATTATATTGATATGTATATGTAATTATTATGTATAATAAATAGGCTATAAAAGTATTTATTTAGTCAGAAAACATTTAAAGTTAAAAAATTTTACTTTTAACACAATTGAATTATTAACTTAATCAATAATTACTAAAATAATACATATTAATAAAAAAAATATTAAACATAAAATTTTTATAAAACATTCAAATTTTAAAATTTAATACTGTATTAATATTATATAAATTTAACTTTTATAACATATAAATTTAATTTATTCAAACATTATTATCTAAATTACTTAATTTTTCTGCCAAAAAATTTAATTCAAACTTCATGTCGAAATCATTGTTATCCATGTCATCATCACATCTACAACAATGACAATAAAAATAATATCCACTTATCAATAGCAATCTTCTGGTAAATTTTGAAAGCGAAGGATTTACATAAAAAATGGTCAACTCGTCGCCGGCGGCGATGGGATGTCTGGCTATTATCTGTAATCTGTTGCCAACATTGTTGGCAAAGACATTGTAGGCACACGAGTGGTCCAAAACAGATGCACCGATAAATAATCCCTGACCACAGGTCAGACGCGATCGATGGACATCCTTAATGGTACCAAATGTAGGGCGCGATTGGAGTACAGTCTCAAAGTTTATGGATGACATCATCTCAAATGAATTGATTCTAATCTTACCAAACAATTCAACCAAATCATCGACAGGTAGTTCCACACCACAGGAACTGATCTTTTTGTGTATATCTTGTATAAGACTAACTTTAAACCAATCGTGTGATATCTCTTCGCGATGTGACATCAAATCGCCAAAACATCTCTGCTGTCCGCCAACTGAGTCATGCTTTTTGTAAACAATTTGTGGATCAGCTTTGATAATCAGATACAATCGGAGCAATACTATAGCAAAATCATTTGTTTTTTGCAGTTTCTGGTAGTGATTCTTGAATATCTGGCACTCATACCGATGTCCAGCTCTCCAATCCTTGCGCTGACAGTTTCGGTCGCAATAATACATGTGTTTACAGACCGAACATCTTTTCAAATCATCACTTTTGGTCAAACAGTGGTCACATACCTGTCCTTTATATCGGTTGTAAATATTGTGCACAAATGGTTTACATTGAATAACCAAATCTCCCGTTTTATACTCTTTTTCTGCTTTAATCATATTTTCAATGCTTTTAAGATATGAAAAATAATTATTAAATAAATAGTATATATTTTTACATATATTAATATTATATACCTGTATATGTTATTAATACAGTAAAATATATTAAGCATATATTATATAATATATTTAGTAATTTAAGTATAAAATACAATTAAAATAGTATTAAATTCTTTATTATATCTTGTATATCGTTAATTGCACTCAAAATTTATTGAAATCTAAAATATCTAATATTATTAATTAAAATTAAATAATATAAAAACTATATTGGCGTCTGTTATACAGTATATATATAAAACTATATCGCATTTCAATTAGTATTATATTACAACAATTTAAACATTATTTAGTCATCTATTGATGAAATTAACAAACAATTTTTGTATACAATCTCAAGTATAATCATAACTTATGATTCATAACTCCTAATGACTAAAATTATTTACAATATTATATAACATTGTAATATTGTAAACATATCAACAATTTGCTAAAATATTTTATTAAGATCTTTTAATTTATTATTAATAAATTATTAATTCATTCAATTTTTGTGAAAAATTATACTATTGTTTGGATTTAATTAATGCATTTAAAATGCATTTATAAATGTATTAATAATATTTTATTTTTCAATAAACAAAAATAAATAAATATATATATATATATACATGTTGTCATACATGTAATCTTATATATAATTAAGTAATTTATATATATTTCAAACATTGACTATAAATGCATATTATGAAAATCTATACTTTTTAAATACTATTGTAAATATCTGTAATAATTAAATACAAAAATAATTTTTAAAATTTTTTTTGATAACATATAAATTACATTAATTATTTTTTTAATAATAAAACAATTAATAAATTATAATCTTATTTTAATTTACATTAACAGTTGTCTCATTATCATATAGGTTAGCAAATTATCAATACCATCATTACCGACATCAATGTCATCACATCGACTACACTGACAATCAAAATAATATCCCTTTTTTAATAGCATTTTTCTGGTAACAGTTGGTAGCGATATATTAACATAATAAGTGGTCAACTCGTCGCCGGCAATAATATATTTATCGGCGATTACACGCAGTCTATTGCCCACAGATTGGACGTAGACATTGGGCGCACACGAGTGGTCCAAAACGGACGCACCAATGAATAAACCGCTACCACATGTATAAGACAATTGATTGACATCCTTATAGACCATTTCAAATGAATTGATGGTAAATTTGCCGAACAAATCAACTAAATCATCGACAGGTAGATCCACACCACAGGAACTGAACCTTTTGTGGATGTCTTGGATAACACCAACTTTGAGTCTATCTCGCACTATGTCTTCGCGATGTGACATCAAATTGGTATAACATCTCTGCTGTCCGCCAACACTGTCATACATTTTGTGAACAATTTCTGGATCAGCTTTGATAATCAAATACAGACGTAACAATGGTATAGCCAATTGTTGTTCCTCCAGAAGCTTACGATAGTGACACTTAAATATCTGACATTCATACCGATGTCCAGCCCGCCAGTCATTGCGCTGACAGTTTCGGTCGCAATAATACATGTGTTCACAAGCCATACATTTCTTCAGATCATCACTTTTGGTCAAACAGTGGTTACATATCTGTCCTTTGAATCGGTCGTAAATTTGGTGAACAAATGGTTGGCATTCAATAACCACATCATACGGTTCGTAGTCTTTCTCTGCTCTAATCATTAATTTTCAATACTGTATGATATGATTAAAAAATAATATAAATAATATATTAAAACTAAAATCGTTTAATTAAAAATATAAAATTAATCTAAAATATTAATATCAAAAAATTTAGTAATTATAACACTTTCTGATATGAAATGATATTGTATGATATTATTTAATTTGATATAATTAAAATATAAATATCATATCGATTATTATTATTATTATTTATTCATTATTATAAATCTCTAATATATGATACCAAATGATTTTTTTAACCAATTTTTATTTATAATTAAAAATTATGATTCATTTCTCTCATTACTTAAACTACAAAAAAATATTTTTGACATAATTTTTAATTTATTAACCATTTCGTGCAAAAAAAAAGATTGAAATCCAATAATTTACACAAATATTATGACAATATTTATATACAAACTTTTTGTCTGTATATACAATTACTGTGAAAAAATTATTTTATATTTTATTATTAATACAAATATATGATACTTATTATTATAATTAATAAACAATTGTTTAGAGAATATGATCTATAATTGCATAGATGTTTGACAAAATTTACAAATAATTGTTTTAATATGTTTTTACTATTGTTTGTTATTAGCATAATAATGTATTCAAAAATATTTTTTAGCATATAAATGTATTAATTTTTAATATATATATATAAATTTACATATTTTTCAATAACTTAAACTAAATAAATTAAATAATGTTGCATATTATTTAACCATTAATTTTAACAATAATTATTATTAATTATTTAGTGTCCACTTAGGGGGAGGGGGTTAGACATACTGATAGGTACTGTATAATATACAGTGTATATAAAATTTTAAAATATAATATAATATTAATATATAACTTATAATAAAATATTTTTTCCTCTCTATTTTTTACTGTAATAAATTGTAAATCTAAAATAAATAAATAAATTTTTATAAACTTAAATACAATAAACAAATAAATCACTGTTTTTTATACTGATTTTTTTGTTATCACATACTGTTATAAATAGCTGTAATAATTGTGTTGAATATCGCGCGCAATGTTTTATATTAATGTGTTATTGATTTTTATGTTTTTTTTAAAGAAAAAATAATACAAAAACATAAACATTGAGTGAAAATGAAATTTTATTGTATATAGTAATCAATGTAAACATAAATAAAACATTTAAATTGTTGTCTCATTTATTGAGTTATTATTATTTAGTTATCAATATTTTTATTAATAATAATAATAATTGTTAAGTCATTTATATTAATAAAGTTATGCCAAAAATCAATGCAAATATTTTTTTAATTTGCATTTAAATTATGTTTTTTTTTATTTTAAATGACAACTCATTGATTGATTGATTCAAATCAATACAAACAACAAAATGTGTCTTAAATTGTGTTAACAATTATAAGTCACTATAAAATCAATAGTCATTTACGGGTAGAGAGACTGAGATCGTCGTCATCGTTGTCGGGAAAACAATATCCAGTGGCCAAAAACAACAATGCATTTAACGGGTTTATGGCTACCATTGACTGCCGTATTGATCGGCTGTTTGGTGGCGGCGGCGGTCGTCGATGCCTACGATCCGTACGACGTGTTGGGCGTCAAACGGTCGGCATCGGTGTCGGAGATCAAACGGTCGTATAAGTCGTTGGTCAGAGTGCTGTATGTATTATATGATATATATGTTTTGATTGACGGATGTGACCAAACAATAATATCAAATCGATTGGTCACTCAGTTATTTCGGTAGCGACTAACCAATTGTGTGATTGTTTTTTTTTGACAGACATCCGGACAAAAGCACGGACGCCGACGCCGAGACCAAGTTTATTGAACTCAACAAAGCTTACGAAGTATAGTAGTAGTAGTAGTAGTATTAATGGCAGACAATTAACTCATAATTTAATTGTATTGTTTAACTATTATGGGAACAGTTACTCATGGATCCCGAGCGCCGTCGCCAATTTGACCGGACAGGTGCTACAGAGGACGCACCCAACTTTCGTCACGAACCCGATTACAGCGGATTCAAACGGTTTGATTTTGATCCGTTTGATACGTTCACATTTACGACCAGTTCGGGTCAGTATCACTTCAACTTTAACGGCGCCAATGTCTTCCGTAAGATGACGATTACCACCAGGTATTTGATTTCATTGATTGAAAATTTTTTATACAAGAATTTTGTGTCCAATTTGTCTTATTGTTTGTTTATTTGTTTATCTGTTCAGAGCCTACGAGAACAACATACTGATGTCTAGTCACAGCCGACCCTTTCTTATACTCTTTTACGGTGACCTATGTTTTGCTTGTCTCAAAATGGAGCACTTGTGGCAAAAAATGGTCACCGATTTGGAACCGTTGGGCGTCGGCTTTGCTACCATTCATTCGCAACACGAAAGCAAATTGGCCCGAAAGTTGGGCGTCGAGACATTGCCGTACATCATATCGGTGGTCGAGGGAGAGAAACGTGTTTACAGAGAGTCGGAGATCAGTTTGGCTAAGATTGTCGAATTTATTCGCAATTCGCTACCTCAACAACTAGTCGAAGAAGTCGATGACAATAATTATCTGAAATTTCTGAACGGATGGCACGATAACAGAGTGCGAACGCTGTTTATTACTGAAGAGTCAAATATTAAACTGCGGTACCAATTGGTAGCCTTCGAGTTCAGAGATCGTATTGCTTTTGCTCACGTGACGTCCGGCCAGCAGTCAATGCAGATATTGACCCGCTATCGGGTCGATCACAAAATGAATTCAATGCTCATATTCAATGAGGACATTACCCGTACAACGGCCACACTGTCGCTGTCCGAACTGAAGCCGCAACTCATGCGCGATGTTCTCGAGTCAAATAAGTTTTTACTATTACCGCGATTGGCATCACAGGTATGTTCAATGAAACTAAATTTTACCGGTAATTGAAATAATTGTTGTTTTTGTTTTATATATTTTTTAAAAGTCAATGTTCGATCAGTTATGTCCCGCCGAAAGTGTCCGCTCTAGACGTCGATTATGTATAGTATTGGTCACTAACAATATGCCCGAACACGAGGCTAAACGTGAAGCTATGCGACAATTTATGCGCGAAAATAATTACCCGAAAGAACGGTTTCGATTCATGTATCTGTTTGAAGAAAAACAGCCCGAATTTGTTAAGGCACTGACCATCGGATCAAATACACCGCAAATTACATCACTTCAAGTAGTGGTTCTTTGGCGCCGACAGATGGATCACGTTTTCTTTGAATGGCTTCCGAACGGCTGGGATTTCAGTGACGAGCGGAACGAAAACGAGACAAAAGTGCGATTAAATAATTTATTAAATAAATTGACTAAAAATACCGAAGACTTCACAAATAACGCCAAAGTTATGGCACTAATCGATGAGTCGGCGCGCGGACTCTTCGGCCGAATTGTCAAAAAGATATTGATTATCACCGATAATATCAGTGATAACATTACCCGTCGTGAAGTATTGCCCGCCATCTCTATCGTATTATCCGTTTGTTTCATAGTATTTATCGGCTATATTATGGCTTATTTAGTGTATGTATTACTTATTAGGGATAATTTGTTTATAATTTTTATAAAAAAATATTTATAATTTTATTTTTTGACAGTCGTATTGAAGAAGAGACCATCAAAGAAAAGTATAAACGACTGGGAAAACCAATGCCTGGAGTATCGCAACCAAAGTCAGTGATAATTATTTGATTATCAATATATTTATGTATAATTAATAAATATGTAATTTATTTTATTTATTATTTTAATTTTACAGAAATGATTGTAAACTATTGATTCATGAGTTACGCGGCGAAACATATAACGGATTGATTAGACTATTAAAGCCCGGCTGTCGGACACTTGTCCTACTAGTGGACGAAACATCGAAACCAAAACTGTTGGCCCAATTCAAGAAAGCAGTCTATCCTTACAGAAAGTAAACTGCGATTTTTAATATATATATATATAATTTGAATGAAAATAAAAAACAATTGTTTTTTATTATTGATATTTATATATTTATCACTACTTAGAAACAAGACATTGATGTTTGCCTTTTTAATGGTTGACAAAAACCGTGATTGGTACGCCAATCTGCTAATGCAGGCACTGGGCAAACATCGGGCCCTACAAATCAATCCTAAAAACTGTATCGGAACTATTGTATCAATAAATGGTTTTAGAAAATACTTTTGCGTCTATCATGCAAAACACCCGGAGGTTTGTTTTTTATTTTGGCGCCTACTCTCTAATACTCCCATTAATTTACTTTTGTCTTAAATTTTATTTATTTATTTTATTTTTTGTAGAGACGAAAGCCACACGAGTCAACTTCTGGCGCTTTTATTGGATTCAGTGATGATTCGAGTGGTACGGACACCGATGTCGAAGCCGGCGATACTAAACTAATTGATCGACAAACGGGTGATATGGATGACGAAATTGTTTTCGAGGAACACCTATTAGATGGTCTGTCCAATTGGTTGGATCGGCTGTTCGAGGGTTCCACACAGCGCTATCACATACAGTATTGGCCCGAAAAAATGAAATATTAATTTATTTATTATTAATTAACGAAACATTTTAACTATACTTAAAAAAAAAACATTTTACATCGATTTTAGCAACTGTTTTATTAATTAATACTTAATCTTATAGTCACTATATTATGTATATTACAATATCGTAATATAAATTATTAGCTACTTGTTATACATAGTGTTATATAATTGTTCATTACTTAAGTTATTATTATTATTATTATTTATTATTATCACTATTTATTATTATAATTGTGTTGTTGATACTTAAATAAAATTATAATTACAATATTGTTAATTTCATATATATTTACTGACAATAAAACAAATGTCATTTTTTTGACAATAAAATTATTAAAGTTGGGATAATAATGTATTATATTTTAAGTTATATTGAATATTATTTTAGACAATAAATCTCCCTGCGATATGATTAGTTAGATAAAATTATTTAGTACCTTGTACACTTTCTAATTGATTTGAAGTAATTAACAATTTTGTCTTAAATACACTATAGTTTGAATAGTCCAGTATTAATAAGTCAATAGTGTATGAAAGTGCATATACTTTAGTAAAATTGTCAATTAAACAATTACTGGTCTTTTGTAATGTAAAAAAAGTCATATATCTATACATATCTATATACCGTATATCTATAGATACAATCTATACACACAAAAAAAGTTATTGAACTTTGATAGCCCTTAAACTTAAAAAATTAATTTATAGAAGAAAAATAATTTTTTTAGATATAAATGACATATGATATCAATATACATATATAAAAAAAATTAAAATTTATTGATCAAAGTAAAATTATTTATTTATTCAATCAAAAAAAAAAATTAACATAAAAACAGTTATTTACATTTGTTTTTCATATAAAAAATTTTGTTTTGTTTCGTTTCACTATAAATTAAAACACAGATATAGTAGATGTTAGATGTTTTTATATCATTTTTTATATATATTATATAATCAATAATTTGCTTTACAATTATAAAAAAATGTTTTTTTATCAACTTAAATTGTAATTAGTATAATAATTTTTTTCCAATCGCTAATTATTAATAAATACGAATTTGTTAATTAATTGTTTTGCTTTTTTAAAAATAATAGTTACAATTTTACAATATTTTATTTGAATTATACATTTATATAGTATTTTTATGATTTTTAATGACTCAAATACAAGAAACAACTAATAATTAAAAAAAGTTAAAATGTGATAATTTTGTGTTTTTTTTCAAAGAGTTGATTGTTAATGAATGTCTATTTTTATAATATACTAAAACATAATTATGTATTATATATATATATTTGTTTTTTATTTATATATGTATAATATTTTAATACTGTATATTTATATTAAATAATTATAGCAAAAGTAGGTGTTTTCACAAATAATTTAAATATATATTTATATTTATATAGATTTATAAAAATTTATTATATTTATAAACAAAACGATATATTAATTAATATCATATTTTAATTATTATTATCAAATAATTTACAAATTTTGCACTTCTAAACAATTATTATAATTTTGATTTCATTTTCAAAATCGATTTTTTAAATTTATAATATAATCCGGAAAATTAACAAACAATTGTCATCTAAAATATAATAAAATAAAAAAATTATTTACAATAATTTAACAATATACATTTTAAAAAATACTTACAATATATTATTTAATTTAATTATTTTATCTCAATTAGAAAAAATCACTGTGATGAATTGATGAATTTAATTATATATTTTATATAATATATTTTTTAATATAATTATTAATTTATTTTGTTTGTATTTTAGTCGACAATTAAAAGTTTATTAAATACAAAAAACATGAGGAATGCACTGATTGTTAATAATTTTATTAAATCAATAAAATTTGTTTGAATAGTATGTCCATTGTTTTCCATATAGCTTTTAACTATAGATAAATAAATAAAAAATAAATAATTATAAATAATTAATCAAATAATATATATATATATATTTAGTTTTTTTCATAAATAAATATATTAATAGATAGTTTAAAATTTTCAAGTTATTAAGATATCAAAAATTTTCAATATATATATCAATCAAATATTTTTTATTTTCTTACAGACAAATTTTTATAAATAATAAATAAAATAATCAAAAAATCTAAATTTATTTCCTTGAAAGAAAATAAGCTATCAATTCATTAAACTTATATATCAATAATCGAAAATTGGATTATACCCTAAAATATAAATTTAATTCACGTAATATTTATTTATATATATATATCAAAAATGTGATAATAAATAAATGTCAAATTATATTTGAAAAATAAAAATTAATAATAATTATTAAATATTTATAAATATTATCAAAAAAATATAGGTTAAATGTCAACATACCGGCACCGAAACTATTATCAGTGATGGGTTCGACAGCACTGGCAATGATTAGCGTCTCTTTGCCAGTAGTGAGCACTTGGGTTAGACTTTCTACACACTTAACACTGACCGCAAACCGATTGGTTTTGAATGTCTTAAACGGTTTAACTGAACGCAAACTATATTGTAGTCTCACTGAAACAACTGTCTGTCCTTCAGTATAATGGGTGGGCCTTTCGTGGACCAGATATTGTCGATCAACTTCGTGCTTATTGATGAACCATCTGAGCTCTGGCACTGGACTGTGTCGGGATGAGACACACGTCAGATTCAGTAGGTCTGACATCTGATAGGTCTGCCTCAGACCTGTGATAGTGGGCTCCGACTGATCCTCAGGAGCTGACTCTTGATTGTCATAATAGATGGGTTTGTCTGACAATGTATTTAAAATAATAGTAATTATTATTATTAGATTATTAAACAACTTATTAAATCAACAACAAAAACATTACTTAATTAAATAATTAATAATTTAACAAAAATTAACTTTCATATCATTAATAAATAATTAGACACAAAACAAATATAACTAATATATACATAGATTTTTTTCTTAATAATAAACCAAAAATATAATAATTATCTAAAATTAATTTTGAAATAATAAATGATTTTAATGGATAGATGTCATAATAGAAAAACATTACATTGATTACTACTACTCTACAATAGTAGTAGTAATAGTAGTAGTATTTTAATCACTAATAACTTAATGTTTCACACATAAAAATAAGCAATTATTGCTTTTTGTGCAAAAAAAAGAGAGACACCGAAAATATATAATAGTAGAGAATATTCTGTACTTGAATTACAATAATATAAAAATAATAATAATAAAAAAGTTTTCTGTGAATAGTTTATGCCAATTATAAATCTGTTTTTACATTATTATGTTTTTTTGGTATACAATGTGATGATAGCATAACCGGGGAATCTGTTTATAGTATTATATAATATAATATTATTAGTATATATATATATATACAGAATATTATTGTATATATTATCAAAGCACTCCTATTATAACTATCACTATTATTATTATAGTTTTGTGGTAATCATTATTACCATATATTGTGTGTGTATGTGTGTGTGTGTGTGTGTGTGTGTGTGTAATACATATGAAATTAGATTAGTATATTTGTAAAGATATATACTGTATATAGAGGGTGCAAAAAATGTGCGGAAATTTCACATAAAAAATCTATTAATAGATATTGTATAATATATTGATATACTTTTTAAACATATATATATATATATATATATATATAGTAGTTATTTATACATAACATAATGTTGTTATTTTGTTTTTTTTGTTTGAAGCAAATTCCTAGAAAACAATATAATAAATAATAATAAATACCAATAATATAAAATAAAAATAAAAAAAATAAAATAAAAGTTTTGTTATTATTATTATATCTCATAAAATTTATTATTATTCACTTAAGCCGGATATGTAGCCATAAGAATAATATTTCCTAACAAAAAAAATTTACTATATTTTCATACATTATGGACACATAAAAAAAGAAAAAAAGATTATTTATATCATATATATTCCAGTTATAAGCAGTGAAATAACAAACTAAAACTTAAGGCAAAACTATATATCATTTTAATTGAGATGTTATACAATATATTTTAATAATAATAATAATAATATTACGGAATAATATAATGAATAGAAAAATCAATTTATGAGTTTGCGGTTAAATAAAAGCTAATAATAGCTGTATATATAAATTTTAAGTAACAAAAAAAATTAAGTAAAATATCATCATCAAAAGAAAAATGATATTAATTTTGATTATTAATACACAATAGTTATCATCATTTAATTGATTTATTTTTCACACTCATTTAATTGAATAACTTTTTTTATTTTATTATTTTTTTTTGTTGGTAACAACTTTTCTTTTTTACAGATAATAATAATAGTTGTCTTAAATGCCTAAATATTATTATTATTCTTATATAAACTCAAAAACACAAAAATAGGTATTAATTTCTCTTTTGATCTCTAACTACAATGCAATACAAATAATGAATATAAAAAAAGTTAAAAACATAAATAATTTAAATATTTAGATATTAAATGAACTTTTATTTTAACAAAAAATATTTATGCAATGCCTAATTATAACAAATATATATATAATATTTATTATTTACATTTTTTATGCTATATTATATATATACTAATTTAGTTAGTATATATCTACAACAAAAAAATCTATTATCTAATATACAGTTAAAATATTAATTATAACAACAGTGTAGTCATTATTAAATTACTAATAATTTTTTTTGAATTTCTTTTTTATTACTAATCTTAATATTAAATCTAAAGACTATTTTTCCTGTTTAATAATAATATTAAAAAATGTATTCACAAATTCATTATCTTTTTAAGCAAAAGTTTCAGACAATAATAACTAATCCATTAGCAAAATGAGAGCCTCTTATTATTATATCATAAAATCATAATACAGTATCATATTATACATATATTACTAATATAGAGATAGTACTGGACGTAAAAATTCAATTATAGACTCAAAACTATACAGAGCCTTAAAATTAAATTAATATATCATAAAGTAGTATACAATAATGTATTATAATTTAAGGAGTAATCTCTTTCACTAAACTATGTTTATATATATATTCAAAATTAACAAAAAATATATACAATTTTATAAAATTGCTGAGTATATTACCAAACATTAGATATTATGGTATATAGTATATAATTTATATATTATATATATATATTTAAACATTTGCATGCAATGTACAGATATTTATCGTATAATTTGCTCCTAAAGGGCATTAAATGTTTGAAATTCCTGTTAAAAACTATTTCACACTTCGAGATCTATAATAGAGTTAAACTCAGAGAGAGAGAGAGAGAGAGAGAGAGAGAGAGAGAGAGAGAGAGAGAGAGAGAGAGAGAGAGAGAGAGAGAGATTACTGGTATATCACTAGACTGGATATTAGAGATGAGCTCTCTCTCTCTCTCTCTCAATATATATATATATATATCTGTTGTATAAAGTTATTGATAACACTTTTAGGTACTATAATAAAAATAATAGTAAACTTAATATAAACAGACACTATTTGCGCCATTATTTTTGATACAAAATAGATGTACAAGTATTTTAGGGTCAACTTAAAAGCCAACTAAAATGTTTGTCTGTGTGTGTGTTATATTGTTAGTGTTAAGTAAGTAGTTGTTTGGCTATTGTATTGTATGACTACTGTATTTGGATGACTACTCCCTTTAATTCATTTTGACAAAACTTAATGAGTTTTTATCATTTGGTTATTTTGGATACTCTTAACAGTATTTCTCAGTGATATACTGTATATATATATATAAACTTTATATATATATTAGTGAACTTCCAGTCGAGTTAACCATTCATTTGAAATCATCATATAATGCACTTTACCTATGGTTTGTATGTATTATTATATACAGTTTATTGAATATATAACTCAAATAATACTATCATTTATTCACACAAATAAATTGATATATCATTTATCTAATGATTACTGCAAATTATTTTAAAGGAGACAACTTATTTACAATACTGTATAAATTATAGTATAGTATAGTGTAGTGTAGAATAGGTTTTATTGTAGTTTTATCACATAGCATATGCATCAATTAATATCATCGGAAAAATTTGAATAATTATATAAATTGTAGTTTTATTTTTTACTGTAAAAGATTTAATAATAAATAAAATGCATTTAACATTATCAACAATTGTATATTATTATTGTATCTATAAATGCTTGTATTAGTAAAGGGTATGTATTAATTATTTTTATTTTTTTCCATTTAATATATGATTATTTCACTTATTATTATAAATATTAAAAAAAAATTATATACTATTTATTCACTAACACTTATGTTATGCAAATCTGGTACCTCATCACTGGCCCTAAAACCATGAATTTCAGGGATTGTTTTAAGAGAGAGAGAGAGAGAGAGAGAGAGAGAGAGAGAGAGAGAGAGAGAGAGAGAGAGAGAGAGAGAGAGAAGAGAGAGAGAGAAAGAGAGAGAGAGAAAGAGAGAGAGAGAGAGAGTCATGTATTTCCCAATTATTGTAAGGTTTGGTAAATAAATTATACACAATATATTGTAATTCATAAAAAAACTTATAATATTTCAATATTCACACATATAAACGATAGATAAGAGTAATAATTGAGAAAAAATATTGTAATTATAATAAAAACTAGTGGACTATTGCCGGCACCTTTAAGTGATACATCAACCCATGATCAACAGCTTATACTGTATATACATATAATTATAATATAATTTATTTTACTTTTTTTAATATGATACTAATACTAAAAACAAAATAAATTTTTAATAAACTGTTTAAATGTTAAACTTAATTAACAACATTTCTTATAATAATTATAGACAAACTTAATTCAAATTTATTACTATTACTACTATTACTACTACTACTACTACTACTACTACACACAATATATATATAAGTTTTTTGTTGTTTTTTGACAAAATATAAACTTTCACTATAACTTATTTAGATATTAACTGTATATTTATTTATTCATTAAATTATATTAATTAAATTTTGGTAATGTAATAATATTACTAATAATTAAATACATGTTAATTTTTTTATACCAATAGTATTATTTTATACTAAATAAATTATTATAATATATACAGTATATTAATTAGTATTAAAAAATAAATAGACTGTAGATTATACTATTATATTTGAAGTATAGGTAAATCTATGATAAATTAATACATAAAATAGTATTACTTTATATATAATATAAAATATTTAAAAACTACTAAAATATGCATAAATAGCAAAAAATATGCCATAATGATGATAAAAATTTTTGGCATAAATGACAAAATTTTCATGCATTTTAAATAAATATATTTAAACAAAATAATAATATATTAAATGGTAGCAAAAAAAATAACAGCAATAATAATAATAATGATAATAACAAAAATTTCAAGCATCAAATCAAATAGAAAAATAAAAGTCAAAAATGTTAAATAAATAAATGCTTTATATATTTACACTTTATATATTATATGCATATATATTGTTAATATCAAAAGTAATCTAAATGTAAATTTGATGTCTCAATTATAATAGAAAGAGAGAGAGAGAGAGAGAGAGAGAGAGAGAGAGAGAGAGAGAGAGCAATAAAAAAATTTATGAAAACTAAATGAATAGGTTTTTATCAAATAAAAATATGATAAAATAAACGGGAAAAGTAGTGCTCCTTTTATTACTATTAAATAATAATAATAAAAACTATTAAATATGTAAATAAATAAATATTATAAATGCATAAAAATGTAAAAAAAGAAAAAAACAGTGAAAAAGTTTCAAACATTTAAATAATTATTAAAATAAAATTTATGAGTTTTTTAGTTTTGTGTGTGAATACTAAAAAAATAATCTGATTTTTTCTAAGTAACAAAAAATAAAATAAATATATAATTTCAATGAGACATACCTTCGCTATAGAAAGTAGTTTCATCGCTGAGCTGTTGTGGGCTCTTATAGGTTGTCCAAAGCGCCACTTCGGCCACTCGGCTGTGTCGGTGACTGATAGCCGAGTGACACTCAAAGGGCACTCTTGTGGTCAACAATCGGCTACTGAACTGAATATTGATTGAGGCGGCGCTCAGATTGTTTTCGTAGTGCTGATAGTAGACCCGGTGCTGAAATCGGGCATCGTTTGAGTCGACCACCGAAGTGCCGTTTATGGTGGCCGTCAACTGTGCGGCCGGTAAGGACAGCGGCGAAGTGCACGTCAGGTTAACCAAATCGTTGACCGTATAGTGAGACTTCTTGCCAATTATGATCGGATTGGGATCTTTCGGGATATCTGTTTGTGTGTGTGTTTGTGGTCGTCGGTCATCACGTATTTTAGGGATAAAAGTTATACAAAAAAATATTATTTGATTAATAGATAGAAAATTTATAAATGTATAAAATGTGTATTTATAATATGTATACAGAATATTAATAAATTATTTTTTTTTGATTGTATTTTATTATTAGAAATTTGAGATCTAAAAAATTTCTATCTATATATAAATTATTGATTAAAACAAGAGATAATGCATAATGTGAATGCTTAATGAATTTAGATTAGTTAACAAATAACAAAAAAAAAGTTTAATGTAATTTTAATTATAAAATTTTTATAATTAAAACCAATTAATCAACTAGCAAATTACATATGGATGAGTAAGTTTATAGTGCATTGACTGTATTATTAATACCAATAGTAGTAGTAATGGTAATAGTAGTAGATATTGATTGCATTTTTAATCACCAAAAAAATAAAATAAATACTAAATCAATACATCATTTGATTGAAACTTTATATTATATATAGTTTATATTTTTTTCAATATGATAAATGCATACATAAAATAAATTATAAATTCATATCAAATATATATATATATATTAGAAAAAAACTCATTTTTTGAATTATCATTTTTTATTTATATTTAATATGCGCTAAAATATTTAATCCAAAACAAAATATTTTGATAATTTTTGATTTTTTTGTTGTGTATACGGTAGTAAAAATATGATATTTATTAAATATTATTAATATATTAGTTAACTGTGTCGATAACCCGGGTGGTGGTGGTTGTGATGCTAAATATGACATCAATAAAAACGATATAACAGATCAAATGATTGAACGATTAGTAGTTTTTATATATTATTATTATTAGCTAATACTTGTATACAAAAGCAAAAATAATGTCATTCAATAATAATATACTGTATATATATATACAGTATATTGATATACAAATATTATACTATATTTTATTATTGTTAAAATTATTATAGAAAAATGCTTTTTAAAAACAAAATTTTATAATGCATATGCATTAAGTACTACATTTTATATAATAATAATAATAATAATATAAATGTATATAAAAAATAAAAAATATTTTTTGTTAAAAAACATATATAGTAATCATGTGTTTTTTGTGTGGGTATACTGTATATGATATATATATTATGATTGAATAGAAGTTTAGATCATTATTTAATGTAAAGTCAAACCTATGAGAGAGAGAGAGAGAGAGAGAGAGAGAGAGAGAGAGAGAGAGATCATGAATCCCGTGAGTATATGTAGAAAATAGGATCGGAGTAAATGAGGTACCGGTTGGTTGTTTACTGGTAACTACTTGTGCTTAAAGCACGAAATATCCGTACAGTTATGGGTATAGAGTATAGAGTAATACCATTTATATGGCAAAACTCATCTAATATTCGTGTGTTCAGCCAATTCTCAAAAGCATTAAATTTTATTACAAAAACTCTATGCAAAAGAAGTTTTTTTTTATATATATATAGTATATGTATATAACTTATGTATAAATATATTTCGGATCTTACAATCTATAAGTGTTTGAAGTTATAACTTATAAGCTATATATATATATATATATATATATATATATATATATATACTAAAGGTTAACAAAATCCATAGCCAAGGTTTATCTCATTTGATATACACTGAAAAAAAACTAATGAATAAATTGATGTTTTCTTGTGACAAAAATAACGACAAAAAATATTATTAATGATAAAAATTAATATAAATATTAAATATTAAAATAAAATATGTATTGAATTTATAATACTATTATTTTTGTTTGTTTGCTACCAAACGTGTACAAAATTACCAAGTTATATTATTATTAGTGCAAAAAAATATAATGATATTTTTGTTTTCATAAATAAAATTTATTTATTCAAATCAAACAACAAATATTGTAGATTTTTTGTGACCTAAACTTGGCATCACTTCCTGAGATATATATATATATATTAATACTATAAAAAAAATTTACTTTAAGCTATAATATTGCTGTTTATTATTATTATTATAAATATTTTTTTGGATAAGTAGTGTTTCAAAAGGAAAATTATTTTTTATTAAACAAATACTGAAGACTTTATACAATATAGCTTTTATATTATATATATATATATATATATATATTTTATATACACATTATTAATATCAGTATATATAAATATTTTGCATTTTGTTATATTAAAAAAGTTTAGGTAATAAATTTATTTAAAAAAAATTTTAATCTAAAATCCAATTTATAACAATTTAAAAAATATAATTTTAACTGAAAACATTTATGATAACTTGAAATTATGATTAAATAATAAAGAAAAAATAATAATAATAAATTTAAATAAACAAATTAACCATTTTTTTCTCTACAGACATAATATCGATACAATGCTTTGAAAAATTTATGACAAAAAATGGTTATAAAAAATTGTTTTCAAAATCCCCCACAAAAAAATAAAAGTATATATTTGATAAAAAAAAGTCATTGTCTGTGTGAGTGTGTAAACTAAATATATTACATTGAGTTATATATATATAAATCGCCAGAAAAAAATTGTTATCCAAACCTATGGCTTAAAGGCAAATATACATAACATCAATATATTGTATATATATAGGTATATATATATATAATGGTAGTCAAGAATATTCTGTCAAAAAATATATATTAATGTTTGGTAAATGTATGTCTATATTTATAAATAGCTATAAATAACAAACAAACAAAAAATAAGTATCAAATAAAATATGTCTGATAAATCATAATATATCAATATTATATCAATATATATACTATACATAATGTATAAAATATAATAATAATATTATTATTTAAGTCGAAGAAGTTTAGAAAAATATCGGGTATTATATATATATATATATATATATATATATTCTGTATATAAAAAATATGTTATTCATGTAATGTATATGTGAAATGCAATCATATAAAAATCATTTTATAGTTTTATCATTATTTTTATATACAATTTTTTTAGACATTTTCTCATTTCATACTAAAATACATACATGTACTGTATATGAGTATATAATTTTATATTGAAATTTAAAATAAAAAACTAAAGTAACTTTTTCATGTACCAGTATTATCATTATCATTATTATTATACTAATTTTCATTTCAAAATCTTACAAAATAAAATTTTTTGGAAAATATCATTGATATAAATGTTTTATTATTTTTAAAAAATATAACACAAATAAATTTTTTTAAAATAAAAACTCATATAAATGTCAAATATACAGTATTATATTATGTTACAATATATAGAGTATATATATATATATATATATACTCTATATATTGTAACATAGTTATATAACATGGTTATATATATATAAATCCAAATTTTGAATTGATTAATATCAATATAAATAAGTTGTGTGTCAAACATATAAATTATATAAACACATATATCTAGAAAATCAAATTTAAAAGTGAATGAAAAAAAAATATTTTTAAGTGATTCGTATGAAAAGAAATAAATATAAATAAAACTGAAATTGGTTATACAAAAAATTATAATTTTAAATATATAAATATCATATATATAACCAAAACAGATATAAAAAACTAAAAAATAAAAATTGCATCAAATATTCATTTGCAATATATTTATATAAATTTATATCTCAATAGAATGTATATACTGTGTAAATATATACTGTATATATAACTATACAGTATATATCTTATTAAACCAATTGATTTGATCACAAAATCCACTAAAAAAACTGTTTTCCTTTATATAAAGTACATCAATATATAGTGAATATCTTTTTTGTATCTATTTTCGATGCATTTCCACTCAATCTATTGGCACAGTTAGTACTGCTAGCCTTGAATAAACCAAAATACAGACACTTGACTATAGGCATTAAAAGATGAACTGGATATTCATTTTCAATATAATACCAGTTATACATCAGTGAGAGAGAGAGAGAGAGAGAGAGAGAGAGAGAGAGAGAGAGATCAGTGTTCATACATATGTGTTATACAAAAGCCATGAGTTTAGTTAATCCACGAGAAAAAAGTAGAAAACTGTTATCAATTCACAAAACAAATATATATATAAAAAAAGTTTGTTATCAAACTCTGATTCAGTGATATTATAAACAGTCATATGTTTTAGGTATATATATACACAACATTATACCCTATATATCGTATAAATTAATAGATGAGAGTCAATAGTGTGGTATTATATTATGTCATACTATACGATAGTTTAATGCTTATGGATATTGAAACAATAACTTTTACTGATAGTATAAGCATGTATACAGTGTATTATTATTATTATTATTAGCACCGGGATGAGTGGCACCGGGAACACTGGGGGTTAAGATATAATATTATAAGATGTGTGTGTGTGTGTACTGTGGACTCTCGTGAGGTGGTGTCATACAGCTTGGATGGACAGTTGGGATTCAATAATCAAATTTACTTTTACACTTATATACTGTATATATAAAGCTTTTTTGTTGTTTAAGACTTTTATGTTATGGTTTTTTGTGTTTGTAATAAACTTTTCATCAAATGTTATAAATTTTGATTATCTGTAAAGTGGTATTAAAGGCTGACCTATAGGGAATCGGTAGTGTATATAATAACAATTGTTAAGGGTTTGTTGTGTGGGTATGTGTGTGTGTGTGTGTGTGTGTATGTTAGGTGACATCACCCAAAATAAATTTAATTACAAAATAATTAATAAAATTGTTAATTCATTAGTTTATATATATACAGTAATTTATACTCATTTGTAGTATTAATAAAATACTACGATATAGTGGACAACAAGTAATATAAAGTATTTATTATTTATATAGTACTGTATAATAGTTAAATTAAATAATAATAAATAATAATCTATTATTAGTTTTCAATTAACTTTTTAATCCTATTATAAAGTTTTTTTTAAAAAAAATTAATGGTTATTAATGGATTATTG